CTGGCACTATCACAGACCACTGCTTTGTCATAGGTGTTCGGGCAGGACAGGCCTCACCCTCAAAGCAGGGCGCTCAAAGCTCTAAGGAAGCCACTCTGCCCAGGGCTGCTTCAAACTCTTAGAGATCAGGTTCCGCACCAAAAAACTGACAAGCCCGCCTTCACATGCCATGAAAAGTTACCAGCAAGAAGAGTAAAAACAGTAATTATAATACACACACATACACACACACAGTGTATATATTTGGGAGTTCCTTGGAAGGATCATTAAAGGCAGGTGTTTACCAACTACAGCCAACCAACTGCAGCCAAGCTTTGTAGAAATGAACATTTCTTTAACAAGTAAAAACCAAAAAAAAAAAAAAAGAGAGAGAGAATATGCCTAAAATTGCTACAAGTTTGGCTTCTTTGGCTGTGATTAGTCACAAAGCTGGTCTGCAGTTTTGAGGTCGTGAGTCAGCCCTGACGGGGTAAGCCACACTACTGGTTAGAATTTGCTACGGCAAAGTTCAAAATACTTGCAAAATAAGTCAACTGTATGAACTATCAGCTTCTGGAGAAAGCCAGTTGAGGATAGTAACATAATTAAAACTGAAACTCCCCAAGGGTCATTTCCTGTTTCTTTCTCTCCCATACTTGAATATTCATTTATCAGTTGCTTTGGAAGCACAGGATGTCTGGTCTTAAAAGACGGCAGTATGTGTTTGCTCACTCCATTATAAACGACTTTGGCAGGCCTTAAGAGTATACAACATAACCGCATTGACTACTTTTTCAAGTTTTCATTTCCGGAGCCTAACTAAATATCAAATGCTTCAGGTGAATGGTCTGGCAAAAAGCAAGCCATTCTCACATCGACTGTATCTCCGAAGCAGCTAATTCTGACTCTGTGTCTAGGAGTAACAAAGTGGACCTCTTTATCCCCAGGTCCTTCAAGATAAAATCAGAATCTGAACAATCCTCAAACCAATTGGATTTGCCCACAGCAACAGTCTATCCCATATCATCTAAATTTCCAGTGTTCTGGCCCCCACTGCTGCCATCTTTGATAAACAGACCTACTTTGTAGGCAAGTAAGGCTAGAGCTCTGGAACACTCGCACCATGACATCTGATTATGGCCTTTCTATGTAGCTGGTGAGGGCTTCCCACCAGGTCTTTGAGAGAAAAGCAAGTAAGAATATTTTGCTGAATAGATTCATATGGTCAATGAGTTCATTATTCACGTTTTCCTCCGTCAATAAGTTGACATGATTCCTTCCACTTTACCATAAATATAAATTTGGGTCAAATTCTATAAAAAACTAGAAATTACTTGATACTATTTTTTTAGTTACAGTAACATCCTGTTTCCTTTTCTTTTTAAAATTTTTATTTCTCTTTTTTTGAATGGTTTGCATTTTTTAATAACCCTTTGTCAGAATCTTAAAAAAGAAAATTAGAGATGGAGTTCTTGCTATGCTGCCCACGCTGGTCTTGAACTCCTGGCCTCAAATGATCCTCTTGCCTTGGCCTCCCAAAGTGCTGGGATTACAGTCATGAGCCACCATGCCCAGCCCATCCTATTTCTTAAAACCAGATTATTTTGATTGAAATATACATATGTATATGAACATATAATATCTAATTCCTCTTAAAATGGAATCCAGATAATAATGTTTGCATTTTTCATGATGCTTTACTGTAAGTAAAGTGGCTAAGTGGTGCCTCTGGGACTTGAACTCATGCAGATTTTACTGCCACTTCATAGTATCTTCATAATAGCTTCTCTCAGGCAGGGCTATTATTCCCACTTACAAATGAGCAGACTAAGGCTCATAGAGATTTAATGAGCTGCTAATGTCAGAAGACTAAGAGTCAGAACTAGAATCCCAGTTCATGCTTTTTATTCAATATAATGTATGCATGATGATGTTTATTGCAGCTGTATTGTGAACAGCATAACAACAGAAAATCACCAGATGGCAACAGGCAAATAAGTGAAATAATACACCAACTAAATGGCATATTATGCTGTCATTAACATTATGACTTTAAACAATAATAATAAGGATGATAGTTACCACTTATTGAATGCTTACTTTGTGACAGGAACAGCCACAGTCCTTTATGTGAACTAACTAATTTTGGTTTCACAACTCCATGAGACAGGTACTATCATTTTCTGCATTACACATGCTGAAAACGGAGGCTAAAATAAATTAAATTACTTGCCCAAAGCAACTCAGCTAATAAGAATGAGATTATCTGATTCCAAAGCAGGGTTTCTCAACCTTGGTATGGTTGACATTTTGGGCGGGGTAATTCTTTGTTGTAGGTGGGGCTCTCCTGTGCATAGTAGGATATTTAGCAGCATCCTTGGCCTCTGCTCACCACTTGTGATAACCAAAAATCACTCCAAACGTTGCTAAATGTCTTCTGAGGGACAAAATTGCTCTAGGTTGAGAGCCACTACCCTAAAACCTATGCTTCACCATTATGCTGTTTATTCCCCTCCCGACACCACCAGCCTTCCTCTAGAACCTGGTGGTGGGAACATACATATATTCACATACAGAAACAGACATGGTCATAGACAGGATTCCCTGAGATACAGGTTCTGAGACTCTGAGATTTGATGGCGGGAGGTTGGGGGAGAGCGAGTGTTCCCACCCCAAGGAGTGTTTTTGGGAACCTCACCTGTGAGGAAGCAAGGGAAACAGAATTGAGCAGAGTGAGAGTTGGAATACAATGCACACTGGTTGTGATAGGCCTCTGGCAATTCCACAGGCAGCTCTGCAGCTGGGATGATCCTTTACAGTTGGCCTGACCTTCATCCACTCCCCATAGACCCATCACTGGATGTGGGCTACCCCCAAGGAGGGGGTATGTTCTAGGACAAGGTGGGTCCCCAGGGAAAGGACTTGCTGCGAACATGATAGTCACCAACACTTCCACATATGGTGACTGAATGCCCTCTCTGTCCTGAAGTGGCAACCTGGGCAGAGCACCACAGCTACATATATGACTTTTTTGATAGACTAATTTATAAGTAACTTAAAATACATGAGCATGTGGACCAAGACTGGAAAGTAATAAGCATATGAAAATTGTCATTAAAATGGTAGTGTTTGCAGGCATGGTGGCTGATGCCTGTAATCCTGGGACTTTGGGAGGTTGAGGTGGGAGGATGCTTGAGCCCAGGAGTTCCAGGCTGCAGTGAGCTATGATCACACCACTGAACTCCAGTCTGGGCAATAGAGCAAGATCATGTCTCTAAATAATAATAAAAATTGGCCAGGTGTGGTGGTTCACACTTGTAAAACCAGCATTTTGGGAGGCTGAGGCAGGCGGATCACCTGAGGTCAGGAGATCAAGATCAGCCTGGCCAATATGGTGAAACCCCGTCTCTACTAAAAATATAAAACTTAGCCAGGCATAGTGGTGCATGCCTGTAATTCCAACTACTCAGGAGGCTGAGGCAGGAGAACAGCTTGAACCCGGGAGGCGGAGGTTGCAGTGAGTCGAGATTGTGCCACTGCATCTCAGAGTCTGGGCTACAGAGAGAAACTCCGTTTCCAAAGAAACAATAATAATAATAATAACAAAATTTTAAATAGTATTTCTATAATGTATTTTTCTCTTTTTTCAAAGTTGAATACAAGGATGTGGTCAACCATACTGTTCTTACCGTTGAAAAAGAAGTGCTGAGGCCAGGCATGGTGGCTCACGCCTGTAATCCCAGCACTTTGGGATGCCAAGGCAGCTGGATCACTTGTGGTCAGGAGTTCAAGACCAGATTGGGCGACATGGTGAAACCCTGTCTCTACTATAAATACAAAAATTAGCCATTGTGGTGGCACACGCCTGTAATCCCAGCTACTCAGGAGGCTGATGTGGGAGAATTGAACCCTGGAGGTGGAGACTGCAGTGAGCCAAGATGGCGCTACTGTACTCCAGCCTGGGCAACAAAGCAAGACTCTGTTTTAAATAAATAAATAAATAAGTGCTGAGATCTCAGAAAATACAATGCCTAGCTTCAGAATACCATATATTATATATTCATATGGCTATAATGATTCCCCACCTGTTTATCTGCCCTAATGCAAGGAGCTTCCTTTCACAGTGATGCCAGGCACTGCTCTAAGTACTTTTATGTATCCTAACTTATTAAATCTCCTCAACCACCCTAAAATAAGCACCTTTATAAACTTCATTTTACAGAAAAGGAAATTGAGTTTCCAAGAGTTTAAGTAATTCAAGATCTACACAGCTAATAATTGTGAAACTGGGACTTGAACCAGTGTACTATGACTCTCAAATCCTGGCTCTTACCAATCCTGGGCTACCACCTACTATATATATTTATTTTGCACAGTGTCCCTGAAGTCCCCTTAGCATGACAGTAATTTCTCTTCTCACATTTTTTCTTTAAAAATACAAACAAACAATAAAACTAGAGTAGTAAAGCTGTCAGTGCAAGACTATGCTAAGGGATTAAAAAAAAAAAAAGACTTCAAGTTTCCTACTTTAAAGTCTTTTGAGATTTAAAGGCCTTTAGATGCCAGTGGAGATTGTAAGAATAAAGTTATGCTGTTTTTCTTTAAAGAATCAAGTCCTTCTGCTTTCAACACAAAATAGGAAGGTTTATGAATACCTGTTTGAAGGATGACTCAGAGACAAAGCTTTACCCTCCCAAGAGACATAAGAGAACTAGACTACCTCTGGGACTCAAGAGGGAATTGCTGTTGAGCTGATTCACTAGGGACTGTTTCTGGTCCTCTGGGAAACTATGGAAAATTCCACTAAGGTTCATTAGCATTCTGAAAGCTAATTTTTTCACCAACAGACCTGAGAGAATTTTCATATTCCAAATTCCCAGTGAATTTTTTAAAAATTGAATTCCCAACCTCAAAAATTGTCTTTTTTTCCCCCCAGAATGCCCAAGCAATTCAGAATCTCTGTTTCACAGGAACACACAGTGCATGTGCCAGTTGAATAAGGCCTTCAAAAGGTCCACAGGTCGGTTGTCTCAATAGATACTTTATTTGAAATGGAATGCATTTTGAAAATATGAAAAATAAATCACATCTCCCCAAAATCATCTAAGAGACATATTTACACAAGTTCTGACCATGCTAAAAAATTCACGAATGTGATGGTGTATAAAGCATCTGGTACATGATGACACTTGCTTTCCAGAAGCTGGCGTTTGTATACTATAAAACGTTAAGAAGAAGGCTGACCTCGGAATGTGACACAAAATAGTTTTATGTTTCTTCTCAATATACAGTGACCTGGAAGGACTACCTATTGTTAAAACCTGCTTCCCCACTGCTCAGCCTGCCATCAGCTGACCAGCTGCAGAGCAGTGGAGAGTAGGTCTCACCAGCTTTTGTGCAGATGCTTCTAACCCAAAGTCCTTCTGCTTCCTTCATTGGACAATATTGCCCTTTCTAAGAAAACCCTGTTAGATCCTGTACTCCATTTAGCAAATGCCCTGCCAGCAAACTCACAGATCACTTTTTTACCCAATCTTAGGTAAATCTGGATTATCTGCCCAACCATGCAAGTCAAAAAGCCACCCTTGAAAACTGTGTCAAGAATTGAGGAAACAGGTCTTAAGAACCTATCCAACACGTAATTCCATAACTAATACATCTTATGTTGTTTTAGGCAAATAGGTGTATCTCTTGAATCACTGATGGATTCAATACCAAGATCTATAATTTTCACATTTAAAATTTATTCTGTTGAGGACATTTTATTGCTAAAGCAAAAGCCAATTAGTTTGACACACAAAAAAAGAAAACAAATGCTCACAGTCCTATCTTCATAGGATTCTGTGCTATAAAACTGCTCCAGGTTCAAGTCTTAGACCACTCTTCTAAGCCTGCTACTGAATATAATATTAACACAGGAGCCAAGCTAACACCAGATGACTTTTCCCCTAGGGACAGAAAACAAGGGATGTGTTTGAACTCATACACTTGCAGCAAACTTTACTGTCAGATTTAAAATTAGGGCTTTCTCTTACAGAGCTTCTTTAAGAGAAATACAGAGTATTTGGTATATGAGAGAAAAAAATAGTTAAAACAAGACTTTCAACTTAATCCAGACTTCCTAACAGTGTTTACATGTGAAGGAAACTCCTTTAAGTAATGTGTGTTTTTTATTTTTACCATCATTGGAGACAAAAACACAAAACCAAAAACATCTGAAGTGAAATTATAAAGATAGTTTGATTTCTACATGATTAGAGAATCCCAATGAGGAAAATGTTCATTTTAAAAGGGCCCCTTATAGACGTTTACTCTCTGACGTCAGCACTCCCCATAGAGCATACACAGATCTAAATGGATTTCCACTCAGAAAGTCTGTTTAAGAAATTTCGTCATGATGTTTAGCCTGTCCCAGAATTCATTGTTCTCAGGGAATGACATGAGAGCAAATAAAAGGAACACTCAGCGAGGCAAGAGACAGCATCTCCCAGATGCTGGGGAGTTACACATTTTGTCCTTCCTTCCTTCGTCCCAACAGACAGTTATTGAGCTCACTGTGTATGAGGCTTGGTGCCAACACAAGTTCAAGGATAAAAAGTTCAGTTTCCAGATGCAACATTACTCCTAATTTTCCAACTTTTTACATTTTATGTTTATTTAAGGAGTGGGTCTTCTATTGGATCTGCCCTTTCGGTCATCTTTTCTTTGGGTTGAAAAATGCATTTTTTACCTTTTTCCATGAAGTTGATTTGTCAGGCTTCAAAATGCCTTAGGTGGTTTGTATCATTTTCTTACAGGTAGATAGAGCCACTGAGACATTAAATGATGTACATTTATATTTTGTTTTGGTTAGACTTATTGAGCGTGTTTGCTTTTTTGCTCTGGAAAAATTATTAATAATAATTTCAAAGGTGTCAAAACAATAAAAGCCATTCTACTTCTCTCTGATTTCTTAGATTTCACATTAAATGTTAAGAGGGGTTCAGAATAGAAAGTGATAAAGGTCAACATAAATATCACAAAAGACTAAGGAACAAGGGCTATGGAAACTCAAGAAACCGTTATTCTGGGGCCGGGCATGGTGGCTCATGCCTGTAATCCTAGCACTTTGGGAGGCCAAGGCAGGTGGATCACCTGAGGTCAGGAGTTCGAGACCAGCCTGACCAATATGGTGAAGCCCCGTCTCTACTAAAAATACAAAAATTAGCCGGACATAGTGGCATACGCCTGTAGTCCCAGCTACTCAGAAGGCTGAGACAGGAGAATTGCTTGAACCCAGGAGGCAGAGGTTGCAGTGAGCCGAGATCATGTCACCGCACTCTAGCCTGCACAACAGAGTGAGACTCCATCTCAAAAAAAAAAAAAAAAAGAAAAGAAACCATGATTCTCGTGGCCCTATTAAGAACCATGGCCACCATGGGGGGAAAAAAAGGAAATCCAGCCACCAAGAGGGAGCCTGGGCATATTTTTTTAAGCAATGAAATTACCTAGCCCCATATGTAAGCTAACAACATACAAATGCCTTTTTTAAAATCTACACCAATCTTAATTTGTAAAGTATTTGGTATGGATTTTTTAATTTTTAGTACAAGAATTTAAAAGAAAAATCCTCCATTGGGAAAAAAATTGTGGTTCATTTGGAGTTATCATGATTTGCATGCATTAAAAGTATAGTACTATGAGGCACTCCTCAAAAAGTACAGCCGTACTTGTAAGGAAGCTGAACCAAACTTGATTTAAGAAATCTTTAGATCCGGCTCTCATTTCATATACATATATACACACATATACATACATACATATTCATATATGTACATATATGTGTACATACATGTTCTCATATATGTATATGTACATGCATATTCATATATGTATATACATATATACATATGAAATGAGTTTTTAAATGTTGGCAGCATATTTTCACAACTGCAACCTAAATAACCACTGGAAGTGGGGGTCCACTTAAGTTTTGTTTGCCATTTGCTTAATAGGGGAAAACTATTTAATTTTCCCTGCAACTTTTTGGATAAGAGTTATGATCTCAAAATGTCATTTAACTATTGCACTAAAAAGTACTTTGACCTTGGAACTCCTTTCTAGATGGAAGGAGAATAAAGACATCTGTAGCATGTAATTCTATTTTTATTTCTTGACTACATAACCTAGCAGTGGTCTGATACTGACCGTTTCAATTTAAATGCTGGAAAAATACTGACCAAGACTTTCTGTGAAAAAGATAATGGAAAACAGAAACCAGTTAGTAAAGCCATGCAGATAGGAAGTGATTTTCAGCCCCAAGAGGACTTTGTATCATCTATGGCTCCATTTAAACTTAAGTAGCATCTGCCCTGGTGGATTTTGAACATCCTTTTGATTTAACACAGAAGAAGGTTTGTTCTACCTTTAAAAGCACATCCTCTTTTTTCCCCCCACAGACTCCTCAACAAGTGGCTTCTAAGACAAGACTGGGGTTGTTTTCTTACTGAAAATCCTGTGTTTATCCAGTCTTTTCCTTTTCAATTTCTGATTTAGCTAACCTAACAACAAAACAGAATCCTCAGATTTCTCACAGAGCAATGAAAAGCAAAACAGTTGGTTTCTCTGATCAACATCATTTTCAGTATGAAAACAAAAAGTTATGACGCCTAGACCTTTGAAATATTTACAAATTGTACTTTAAACAACGAGATTTTTCAGTGTGCTTCTAAAACAAAGTAAAGGGATCAGAAAATGTGGTTCAAGTGTGCAAAGCTCTCGGAGAAAGGTCCTGCAGCCTGGACAGGAGCACAAATATTCTCTTATACAAGTTAAATATACTATTTTCCTCCACAACATTTTTGAAATGAAACAGCAAATGCATTTATACTCATAAATCAATCAAAAGACCTCTTCTCCTTGTTAAGCCCTTTACACACAGATGATAAGAGGTTTTCCTACAGTAGATGTGGCCCTACCACATATTCAAGATACAATCATCCTACCATCATCAGTTAGGTTATGTTTTAAATATTTTGAAATCAGGTATCCCTACTACTGATTTCCTTTTAGAAACTATCTTGAGCATTAGATATTCATAATTACACCATTTTGAACTTTTAGCTTTTTTAAACTTCTAGACAAACTATATGTCTAAGCAAAAACAAAAACAAAAATCCTCAAAAATAGTAGTATCGGAGTTTTAATTTCAATCACTTGGCATAACAATGAAAGTGTCATACCTTCTGAAAGTACTCCAGGAATAATGACTAGATTCTTAATGTTTTCCCCTCCACCGCCCTTTTTTATTTTCCAAGACTAGGACTTACTATGGAATAGGTTTTTGAAAATAAAGTTTCCTTTTTGGAAAATGGCCTACATTCAGAAATGTCTTAGAACAAGCATTTAAAAAAAAAAAACTAATAAATAATCATAAATCAAAATACATTAGAATAAAATTACAGTACATCATCGCTCCTAGAAAATTCACCATACTAGACGATCCTTTCAAAGGTTCATAAATAAAAGTCTTCTTGAGTCGAAATCGTTTCCTGCATCGTGATGAAAAGTATGCAGAAAACTAAGACGAATCACAAGTTTTCAGTAGGGGGATGTCCAAACTACTTGATCTGGTGCGGCGCGGAGAGACTGTTTTGCTTTTGATCCAAGTGAAGACAATAGAAATGTGCTCGTCCCACTTCCTCAAGTCCTCAAAACCTGGAAAGAAATGACACCGAGTGAAGTAGGTGGCTAGGAACCCACCCAGACCAGTTCTGTTCGGGCCAGTTCGGCTGACAAAGCGGGCTCAGAAAGGCACCGCGGTGTTTCCCTCAAGTGCCCAAACACACAGTCAAGTGTGGCTGGGGGGCGCACCACCGGACAGGGACGGTCATGATGGGCGCGGGCGCGGTCTGCGAGGCCCCCTGCCTGGCCCGGGCCTCCCCACCCTTCCCTCTCTGCCCAGGGCCTCCTGGCTCCAGTTTGTTTCTCTTCCTTCCATCGCCCCAGAAACTCGGAATGAGTTCTGATTTCTCCATACGGGAGCCGAACCTGTGAGCGAGCTTCCTACTCCTCCCAACACACTCCTGAGACCCACTCCTCTGGAGCGCGAGGGCCGGGACCTTACCTTGTCTGGCCCGGGAGCTGCCCCCTTCAGGCAGAGTTGGAGGTGCTGCGGAGAAGCCGGTGTCCGTGCGGCTGCGAGTGCGGCTGTGGGTGCGGGTGTGGTATTTGGTGCGGGTGCGGGTGCGGGTGCGGGTGAGGGTGTGGGTGCGAGTGCGGATGAGAGTGTGGATGTGGATGTGGATGTGGATGCGGATACGGGTGGAGCTGCTGGGGCTGAGGCTTGGGTTGGGGCTGAGGCTGGGGTTGTGACTGGGGCTGGGGTTGCGGCTGAGGCTGAGGCTGAGGCTGGGGTTGGGGTTGGGGTTGGGGCTGGAGCTGCGGCTGCGGCTGCGGCTGCGGCTGCGAGGGGGGCTGCTGCTGGACCAGGTGCTGCTGCTTCTGCCGCGTGGACTTGACCGCCAGGATGGCCTGACGATTCTTGTACTGCACCATCTGCAGCGTGATCTCGGCGTTCCAGCCCTGGTCTTGCGGGCACCGAAAGTCGATTTCCTTGCCCTCTGCCATCACCACAGTGAAGTACATGTACTTGCCCTTGCGCTCTACACAGTCCACGGTCTTCATGTTGGAGAAGTGCAGTTCCTTGAGCTTGACCGGCGGCTCGAGGCTGGCGACAGCGGGGCCACTGGGTAGGGACGGCTCGGCCGGCCCCTGCCCGGGCTGTTGTTGCTGCTGCTGCTGCTGCTGCTGCTGCTGCTGTTGCTGCTGCTGGTGTTGCAGCTGCTTGGGGGGGATGAGCAGCAGCCCCTCCTCGGTGAGGATGCAGCACTTTTTCTTCCAGAGCTGCAACAACCCGTCGCTGCGCTTCTCCAGCACGCCCTCCTTCAGCGCTTTGCAGCCGCTGCTCTCCAGCATCCTCCCAGCATAAGAGGGGCCGCCGCTTGGCTCGGCCTCTCCGTTTCCAGCCACGCGGGCCGGGGGCAGCAGCAGCAGCCGCGCGCCGTCCTCGCCCCAGCGGCTCCCACGGCCGCCTGCCCGGAGCGCGCAGAGGAGGCTAACACGCAGGAGGCAGAGCGGCGGCGGCGGCTGTGGGTCCCGGCAGAGGGACAGCCGCGTCCTGATGCGCCACAAGGTCCCGGAGCCGCGAGCTGCCGGGCCTCTGCCGTCCTCTTGCGAGCGCTCACTGAAGGGCACTGGCCGGGCCCCCTCGCGGCGCTTTTGAATGGGCCATCTTCCCCACCCCCGAGTGACACCCAGCGGAAAAGGCGGCTCCTGGCGCCCGCACCACTGGGGAAAGCCCAGCTCCGAAAGGCGCTCGGCAGCGGGCGCACGCCTCATTAACTTGGGGCCTTTCCAAAGCCGGCTGCGTCCACGCCCCCCGCGTCCCTCGCTCCGCCTCTCGCCGCCCACTTGCTTCCGCGCTTGTTCCCCTGGAAGGCGACCCGGACCCGAGCCCCGGAAACTCCTCTCCTCCACCCAGGGCGATCGCCCAAGGAGTCCTGGCTGCCTGACGACTAATGCCGACGCTCACAGGGCTCTGCGAAGCCATCCCCCGCGTCCCGCCTCTCCCCGGCCCGCGGGGCTTTCTGCTAACAGCCTCAGAAAGTGAGGACTGGGGCGCGGAGGCGGGGGCAGCCTCCAGGCTGTGCTCTCTCTCCGTTCTTGGGAATTAGCCCTGGGGATTCGCGCTTGGCTCCGAGAGCCGGCAGAACCAGCGTCGTAGCCTGGGTGAGCCGGGAGGCCGGGGCCGAGGCTCGCGAGTCCCGCGAGTGTGCCTCCCCCGGACGCCTAGGTAAACAAGTGAGCGCACAGAGGCCGAGAGGACATCGTGTCTTCCCAGGCATATTCGCTCACGGTCACTAATTAGCTCTTCTTGGAAAGAGGGCGACTGTTAAAGCAATGGTGCGACCGTCGGGTTTGCCACGGGTGGAGAAAGGCGGACCCACGTCAGGTCGCATTTCGCCTGCCTTTTCTCTACCCCGACCGGAGGCGCTAACCCGTCTTCCGCTTTCTTCTTGACCCGTCCTTACGGTGTTCATCGTCTCTTAAACAGTAACTCTCTACAAACCGGGGTAATATCCGGTACTGAGATCCCACACTGCAAGGCACAGTTCTAAACGCCTGGTCGACCTCGCGGGTCCCTCTTTCCAAGCGCCTAGCCAGATGTTGGTTTTGGAATCTCATTTATCTGTGAGCTGGGGAATGCAATACCCCCAGCTCCCTCCTAGTCCTTACATTTAAACAATGCCTATAGAAGTCGCTTCCTGGGAATTAAAGCATAACGGAGACCTAGCCTCCCGGTAGGGAAATTCATCCGTTTAGTAAACAGCCCCAACTATGTGCGGACCCTTACGAAGACTTAAACCAGGGCTGGACAAGTCAGAGTGGGCCAAGGTAAGAGGAAGGGCTGCTACTGTGCCCACATTGGAACAGATAGATTAGCTCATCTGCTAGTTGTGTGGCAAGAGCAAAGAATTCAAGAGGGGAAGAGAAAGTGAGAGGAGCTTAGACAGCTAAGCAAGAGTCGAATCCTTTGTGTGTCATGGTAAGAAATTCGAACTTAATACCAACCTAATCAGAAGAAAGGATAACTTTTATACACGAGGGCGTCCTGAATCTTCATCTAAGAAACATGGTCTGATCAAACGGGACAATCCAGCCAGCAATCCTGAATCCCACTAAATTATGCTTGGCCAGCTTTCTAACCTTCACATTGTTAACTGATTAGCCATCTTTCCAGGAGAAAGGCAATTATTAAAATTATGTGGATTTCTAGTAAAATTATGTCTCAAAGATTTACAATTATGTATACCAATAACAAAAAAACTACAAACATGCTTTCTGCCCCCTGCCTTTGTAGGACAAGTGAGCATTCCAGAGAATTTCTACATGACCAGCTGTTCATTCTTTTAAGAGGATGACATTCTTCAGCTCATCTGGAAAGGATACTTCCTTTAAGTCTGTTATTCACAGTCTCCAAGGGCAGGTGTAGTTGGAAAAGACATTTCATATGGAAAAACAAACTTGATAGGGTAAAAAAAAATGAGATGTAATCTGGAGGCCCAAATCATTTTCTAAGGAGAAACCCAAATGTATTTGGTGTTATCTAACCTTCTGCAGCTTATCAGTCTGAAACAAATGCGTTCTAGTCTTATTTGAAAATGTCTGAACAGCCACCACAATTTTCAAAATCACCCATTTAATTATAACTGGAGACTTTAAAGCCCAGAATTTCCAGTTACGTATTTCACAATGCTTTAGTAATTTTGTGAGCAGCTCAGTGGTTAAGTCTACAACGTCTGACTATGGGGCATTATTGAAAATAACAATAGTGTAAGGATCCAGTAGTGTAAGGATTGGTGACAGCTGTGCTCTTGTTATTTTAACAGTCATCACCAACAGTTGGTGACTTAACAAATTAAGAGCATAGTTGCCATATGCTAATATTTGGCAAATATGTCAAAATGGCCATATTTGCCAATTTTTTAAGACAATAAATTCACAGAAAATGCATTACAGAACTTAAAAAAATAAAAAAGCTTTGGGCCAGGCATGGTGGCACATACCTGTAATACACACTCTAGGAGGCTGAGGCAAGAGGATCCCTTGAGCCCAGGAGTTTGAAACCAACCTGGGCTACATGGCAAGGCCTCCCTCTGCAAAAGTAAACAAAAATTAGCCAGGTGTGGTGGCATGCGCCTGTAGTCCCAACTACTTGGGAGGCTGAGGTGGAGGACTGTTTGAGCCCAGAAGTTCAAGGTTGCAGGAACTAGGATCGCACCACTATAACAAGCCTGGGCGACAGCAAGACCCTGTTTAAAAAAAAAAAAAAAATTCAGCTGTATATGCAATGAAAACCTACAAGTCACTTAAAAGTTACTAAAGTTTAGAAAACTAGCCAACAAAATCATTGCTTTGGTAAACAAATTCGAAATGGCTAATTCAAAGTACATTTTACAGTTGGCAATATCAAGTTGTCTATCAGCAACATTGGACAGTTCATTTTCTTCTCTTGGATAAAGTTTATCACTTGGCTTCAAGGACATCACTCAGTTTTCCTTTACATCTCTGGTATCTCCTCTACGAGGTTCTTTCTCTTCTCTCCAACCTTTTAATGTTGGGATGCCCCAAGTCTTAGTCTTTGGCTCTCTTCTTTATCTACACTCATTCCCTTGTTGATATCCAGTCTCATCACTTTTAATAACATTCATATGCCAGAGTCCCAAATTTATACCCCCAACTTATATCCAACTGCTTACTGCTGAAGAATAAACCACTGAAGTTAAAAAATAATAGACATACCAGGCAAGGGAACACTTACTAGTAAAGCCATTTACTGAGTAGTTCACTAGAGGCTTAAGTCTGAGGGGATTTTAGGTCATAGGAAAAAAAACAAAACAAAACTGAAAAACAACACTCCGGATAGGTCAGAGTCGTCTATAATTCATACACAGTAAGTTATAACAAATTCCTACATGGAACTGCTCCAGTTTATAGGTTAGAATTAACTACAGTGAAAAACAGCCCTCGGTTTTTATATATTCTAGGCCAGTGAGTGCTACTATAAGTTGAAAATTCTCCATTTACACTTCTCTACAGTACTGCCTGTGTAATCTAAGATAAAACATGTGAATGAGCTCCCAAACTATCTTCCTCACCCTAACCTATTCTATCTGCAGCCCCCTTTCTCAGTTGACAGCAATCCTCTGTACAGATGCTCAAACTAAAAACCCTAAATCAGTACTGCCCTTACACCAGGCCAGGAAAGGCCCTTACCAAGGCCCTGAGCTTTAGGATTGAGCGCTTTAGAGTCAAAATGACATGTCATCTAAAGGGCATACTCATTCTGCACTACACTCTAGGTACTCAGGACCCCAAATACCCTGCCCAGAATAGCCCCGGCTGTTCCAGGAAATGCATTACATCATCATTGCATGCACTGATGTGTTAGGGGGATGGCACGGTTTGAATATACTTGTTATGGCATCCAAGTAAATATGCAGGAGGCCCCTTGCCATACAGTTCAGAGCCGGAGTGGGAAGAAAAGTAAGGTGGGACATGGGCTGAGGGTCAGCTCTGTCCCCAAGTTATGTTCTGGCATAAATAAAACCTGGCTTCCCAGTTCTAATGAAAGTTTGTCAAGACAGGCACATTGGGCATATTTTCATTAAACAGAACTTTTAAATATTTAAACATATGGTATCTCCATCGTACTCTTGCCCCAGGCCTTCAAGGGCATAGAAGCATGCCTGCCTTCTGATTTTTTTCTTTCCCAATATTTAATCTACACATTTAGGCAGGAAATCCCATTGGTTATGCCTTCAACTACATCTGGATTCTGTCTACTTCCTTAATTACCACCCTGATCCAAATCATCATCATATCCCCCCGCTGGATTACTACAATGGCCTCCTAACTTGTCTCCCTGATTCTATCCTTATTATCTATTTTCAGCATAGCACCCAGGGTCATCACTTTCTTCAAGTCTTGGCTCAGCAGGCCTATCCTGATCACTCTCAAATGGTAGCCACCCAATTCCCCTTAATTTTTCCCATAGCATATATTCTAACATGCTACTCAATAATTTATTGTACCTATTGCTTATTTCTGTTCCCCTTCCTACTAGAATAGTACGCAAGCTATTCAAGAGGGCAAGGACCATTATTTCTGATGTGTCCCAATCACCTAGAAAAAGTACTGATACAAAGTAGATGCTCAACATAGGTAGAAATCTTGACTTGAGTCAGAAGTCCATACCCATCATTAAAAGAATATCAATTTTTTCAAATGCTTCTGACAGATTTTTCATGATGCATCCTAAAATTTGAAATGTAAGGACTTGAAATGTGCCCTACAAATATATCTCTGCTATAATTTTTAAATGGATAACTACATGCTAGGCCTCTCTGAATCTTAAATGCTTTCATAGTCCAGACATCATATAAAATAAATTCCACAAATCTTTTCCCAAGCAACATGCAATTTAATATTGTGAGAGGTGTTTATATAAACTAGCATCCTACTGTTTTCTAGTAAGAGTATTTAGAAGCACGAGAAACACAGTAATGGAACTGAGTTGGTAAGTTTCTTACTTGGCAGTTACATAGTCAAACACTTGATTAGAAGTCCATTAATCAATACTAGCTTAAAGACATGTAACAGAACTTGGAAAGTTATGAAGTGTTTAATTCATAATGATTACAAAATTCTGATATGTAAACTAATTTGCAATATACAGTAGAAACTCCTGACAATGATCATTATTAAAGATTTGGATAGTCCAAAAGTCAAACATCTTTCAAAAAATAGTTAAAACCCAGTAAATTATGAACATGTCACATTGCCCTCATCAGTGTATAAAAGATAACCAAGGCTGGGCGTAGTGGCTCACGCCTGCAATCCCAGCACTTCAGGAGGCTGAGGCAGGCAGATTGCCTGAGGTCAGATGTTCGAGACAAGTCTGGCCAACATAGTGAAACCCCGTCTCTGCTAAAAACGCAAAAAAATGCGCCCGTAATCCCAGCTACTCGGGAGGCTGAGGCAAGGGAATTGCTTGAATCAGGGAGGTGAAGGTTACAGTGAGCCAAGATAGTGCCACTGCACTCCAGCCTGGGCAACAGAGTGAGACTCTGTCTCAAAATAAATAATCAAATAGTCCCACATTCAGAGTGCAGTTTAGACTTCTTGGCCTTATTTAATCTTTGAAGTACTATTCAGAAGAAATATTCTAGATTCTGGTTTTCAGAAGTCCTTGAGTTGAAAAGGTTAAACATTAACACGGAACTATCCAGACTTCTTAGGTGGGTGTCCAGAGCTGCCTTCCTTTTCGCCTTACTAGTTGATGAACGGATGCCTCCTAGTGATCAATCTGTGTAACAGCTTAAAGTGCTTTATAAGAGTGCTTTGTGCTGTTTTTTTTAACCGTAGTACAACCTCCTTGTGGATCCAAGCACCGTCCATCAGCTGTCTCCATCCTTTCTGTTCTACCAGCAGCCTAATTCAGTTCTCATTTCTCATCTAAGTTTTTGGGTGGCCCAACCACCTGATCCATACTCTCATACACATGGTCTTCAGTTTTACTCCTAAAATATGACAGAAAACTTCTATTCACCTCCCATTGTATATAACATTCCAATTCCTTACCCTTGCATGGCAAGTCCTCCACAGAATGGGTCCTGCTTGCCTTATTTCGACTCTCTTTCGGCTCAACCTTGAGTGAGTGCCATGCATATATCTACTTGTCCTCACTGCCTCCAATTTGCTTTCCCAAATCCTCTGTAAGCTTTCATTCTTCAAAGCCCAGTTCAACTCCTACCTCTTAGATTTCTTCTGGCTAATTCCTTTCTAATCACTTCAAACTCTGATGAGTAGTTACCAGATTTTCACATCTTTTTTTTTTTTTTTTTTGAGACTGAGTCTCGCTCTGTCGCCCAGGCTGGAGTGCAGTGGTACCATCTTGGCTCACTGCAAGCTCTGCCTCCCGGGTTCACGCCATTCTCCGGCCTCAGCCAGAGTAGCTAGGACTACAGGCACCCACCACCACACCCAGCTAATTTTTTTGTATTTTTACAAAAATTACAAAACGGGGTTTCACCGTGTTAGCCAGGATGGTCTTGATCTCCTAACCTTGTGATCCACCCGCCTCGGCCTCCCAAAGCACATGTCTACTTCCCTAAGTATCTAAGATCCTGGATAAGTGTTTTCACCATTGTACCTAACGGAGAGCTGATTGACAGCACTTATGAGGGGAAATGACTAATGTTTTGTCTGGAAATGTTATTATTCGAAACGGGCAAGCAGGCTATCTTATTGAATATTATTAACAAGTAACCAGGGAGTCTGATGATTTGTAAACTTGTTATGGTAATATTAGCTTTGAAATGACAAACGAAAATATGGAACTGAATGAAGTGGAGCAGAGAGGAAGGAAATCTAATGAAGGAGGCTGAGACCCAGTATTACACTGTCACAAAACTGCAATCACTCAAAAGTGTTGATATTCTGGCTCTGGGTCTTTGGGGTGACAAGATACCCCAGTAACTAACAGTGGAAGCATTGCTCTGGCTGAATAGCAATCCTCGGTCCCCTCTTAAGAGCCCAAGAACACCTATCCCCTTTCCTAAGTGTGTTTCTACTCTGAAACCAGGTAAATGCACCCGTTGTTTGCAACTCAAGTATCTAATTGATGGTCACTTGGGCAAATACTTCCATTTAAGGAACTAGATTCCAAGGATATTTCCCTCTTTTGCTATCATTTTTCCATTGCCACAGAACACACAGCCTGAGGTCATAGGCTGTTCAATTTGATCACTATTATCTCTGTAAGAAAAAAATATATATATATCCAGTAATGGGCAAATACCTTTCTTAGGTGATAGAGGACATATAGCAGTGAGTGTAGACAATTCTCCCAAAAAATATGAGAATAAAGAAAGAAGGTGGTAGTGGTGTTACCTTAGAAGAGGAACTCAGGCTTCAGAGAGGGTAGGTTTCATTACAGACAAGGTAATCTAAGAGTAAAAGTGATAAAAGAATTCTGTGGGGTAGCCAGACTAGAAAGGTGGAATAACACTTTTATAAAAGATAAAACCCAGGAAACGTTTATGGCAAGCTTGTACGTTGCCACTAAACCTACCAGAAAAAGCAAATCCCATTAGAAACCCCCATCACAATTTATAACTATCTGATTTAAGTAAATCACTGTTGAGTAACAATGAGCACCCCTTAAACAGGTCAGAAACCAGAAAACACATAATAGTTTTTATTTCTAATGAGATTTCATTTACTATTAAGGCATTGTCTCAACCTCATTTGTGCATGCATGGTTCTGAGAAAGGTTATCATGCAAAATGAAATAATAAGCCTTGGGCAAAGTAGGACTCCAATCATAATTAATCCTTTTGGGCCGTATTTAAAGAAAATTACTTTTCTCAGCCCTGTTCACTTATTTCTGAAATGCAGTCATTTGCCTTATGTTCCAGGATATCCTTGATCAAATAATCCTTTTCTAAATCAACTTATTTCAACATATGTGGCCAATGTGGCTGTCATCCTAACCTCTCCTGGCATTCACACCCAGCTCTCCTTTATTTACTACCCTACTTTTGGCACTGTGAGCATAAACCATAGGTTCTTCTTTTTACAGGAGAGGTTGGATGCCAGTAGCCTTTAGCCTCCTTCAGCCCATCTTGTACCTTGAACCTGGACAAGATGTATAGAGCCCCAGCAGTCACTTGATAATAAACCAACTTGCAACAAAAATAATGAAAGTCAGTCTGAGAACCATGAAGCTCCCATATCAGTCCCAGAGTCTATGTCTAAGCCTAGACTCAGAAAAACCTATATAAGCCACATTGTATTGGGGCTGTGTTATACATTATAATAAATACAAACTCTTCAGGGCAGGGGAGAGAAAAAGGAAAAAATATCTGAATGTTGTTTAAATGTAGATTAACTCGGGTCTCTAAAATATTTCATATTCTGAAAGCTCTAGCCTAAAGAACATGCTTATTTAACCACTAGTTGTGTGATAGAAATATCTACAAGGCAGTGCAGTGTTCATCCAAATGCTGGCTCCAACACAAATCAATTGTGTCCTTGTTAAAGTTACTTAACTTCTATCCTTACGCATAAAAAGGGAATATCCTCAATCAAGTATGATTAAGGCATTATTTTTATTATCTTAATGTTAAATGAACATTTAGTTCTCCCAAAATTGCTGATTAATACTGTCAACTGAAATCTCACTAGTTTAAACTATACATGGAATAGCAATGAAGTTTTTTTTCTCAAAACCTCTCAGTCTAGTTACATTATACCCAACTTTTGTAAACACGTGTACTTAATGGTCACCTTATACATACCACTTGAGGTTCCTTTACCAATCAAGCTTGACATTTTTGTCTGAGTGAGTTCACTATGTATTTATCTGGAAATCTCAATCGTCCAGCTATAATTCAAGTAAAATATTCCAAAATGATGGAAAAAAGTTTATGTTTTTTTCCCTAAAGGAGGCATACAATATGTAATTTATTACAATATATAATGTTTTGGAGGTTTTGTTATGCAGTACTAGGTAACTGCAACTATTGATATGCCTTCCCCTGAACAGCTGACTCTTGAATATCAAACTTGAACTAAAAGGGTCCACTTACACACAGGTTTACTTCTGTCTCTACCACCCCTCAGACAGCAAGACTCCCCTCCTCAGCTACTCATGAAGGCAATGAGGATTGAGACCTTTATAATCCAGTTCCACCTGAGAGTAAATACACACACACACACACACACACACACACACACACACACACACACACACACAGATACAGATTCTGTTGCCCAGGCTAGAGTGCAGTGGCACCATCTCAGCTCACTGCAACCTCCAACCTCCCAAGTTCAGTCAATTCTTGTGCCTCAACCTCCCAAGTATCTCAGACTACAGGCGCGCACCACCACCACGTACAGCTGAGTTTTGTATTTTTAGTAGAGACAGGGTTTCGTCATGTTGGTCAGGCTGGTCTCGAACTCCTAACCTCAAGTGACTGGCACGCCTCAGCCTCCCTAAGTGTTGGGATTACAGGCATGAGCCACCGCACCTGGCCATGATAACATATTTTCGATTCCTTAACATTTTCTCTAGCTAACTTTTTACAGTATATAATACACGTAACATACAAAGTGTGTGTTAAATGTCTTATTGGTAAGGTTTCCACAGTAGGCTATCAATCAAGTTTTTGGGGAAACAGTTTATACACAGATTCAATTGAGGGAAGCTGGGGCCCCTAGTCCCTGCATTATTAAAGGGCCAACTGTATACACAATCCAGCTTTGTTTCATTGGTTTTCTCAATCTGCACGAATGTAACAACTACAAAAGACCTTAGGAGACTGAACTACTGAGAACCAATCATTTGACTTGCTACACAGTCCCATACGGGATTATGGTTGGTACATTGAATAGGTCTAGATAAATCCTAACAGACCTACACATACAAAACTTTACTGTACACTTACCATGTTCCAAGCCCAGTGCTGGAAATTAGGAAACTCATTAATGAGCAAGTATTTCTAGAGTACATTTTGAACTGGTATGGAACAGTTCAGACTTATAGAAACAGAGTAGGTATGAATGAAAAGGAGATTCTATGCTGAACTAGTAAAACACATGCACAAAAAAGTCCAGTGGCAGAAGTAAAAGAAAAGGTAGCCAAGCAGAGCTGAAACAGTACAAATGCAGGTTAAATACGCTGGGCTGTTGATCTCCAAGTTGCTGTCGAACTTCTGGCACTCACATGTTTATCACACATTCCCAGTTCCTTCTTTTTGGCTTTAAATTTAAAACATGTAAGAAACTGGCTGGGCATGGTGGCTCACGCTTATAATCCCAGCACTTTGAGAGGCTGAGGTGGGAAGATCACAGGAGGTCAGGAGTTCGAGACCAGCCTGGCCAAAGTGGTGAAACCCCATCTCTACTAAAAATACAAAAATCAGCTGGGCTCAGTGGCGCACGCCTGTAATCCCAACTACTTGGGAGGCTTGAACCCGGGAGGCAGCGGCTGCAGTGAGCCGAGATCATGCCACTGCACTGCAGCCTGGGCAACAGAGCGAGACTCTATCTCAAAAATAAAAATAAATAAAACATGTAAGAAACTAAAAAGCAATGCTTTTATTTTATGCAATATTTTATCCTGAGTTTCAAAATAATAAAACTCAATTTGTTCTAGGATCCACAAAACTTAAAACGCCCAATTTCCCATACAAAAATTAAACAACCAGACTGACTTATTTCCCGTCAGCAATCTATTATTTCTAAATACCCATTTATTCTTTTATTCAGACTGTTGAGGATGATGTGGTCAGGCCTCAATATACCCACTGTAAGTCAAAAATATCATGAGTCGAAGATGCGTTTAATATAAAGTCTTAAGTCAAACCATTTTAAGTCAGGGACTGTCTGTACTAAGATTTTAGTGAATAGCTTAATTTTTGTAAACTGGAAAACCTGACAATATGAGGTCAAAAGGAAGAAACACAAGATACAAAGCACACTGTATTTTTGAAAATGTAATACATCAATCAAAATTTCTTATGAATAAACACTTATCCTTGAGTAAAATAATATCATATACCAACAAGGATGTTTCCATTTATGTAAAGTAATGTAAGTGATCCTCAATCAGTCCAATAACTTTTTTATCCAGGTTATATTTTAATATCTGGAGTTTTAATCCAGCATACAAAAATCAGCAGTATACATCTATTAAGTTAATTGCAGTATTATTTCACCATCACCATTTACATTTACTTTTCAGGTATCAGAGACTTAGTGCTTTAAGTAGCAAATTACCTAAATTATCAACACTATTTCCAAAAACAAAATTGAGCTCATAATTACCAAGTGTATATGTACAGTGCAGAAGATTAAAAAAAAAACTGAATTGGCATATACTTCTCTTTTCTAAAGCTCCTATGAAGAACTTACGCTCTTCTGCACTATCAATCTATTCTGTACATTTAAAATAACATTTGTTTTGATTTAAAGTCAAAAATATAAAGGCTTAAATTTTTATAAGACTAACCCATGAAAAAGGACGCAAATTTTAAACCAATCCCTGAAACCAAAGCATTCAACTATTTGAATATTAGTTCAATGTTTCTACATAGCACGATAAGATTTTCACAGTTTATCAAAGTTTTGTCTTTATTTTTAATAATGGGAATGGCCTACAATTACAATAAACAGTTAATTCAGTTATCTTAGGGGCCTTACCATATCATTAACCTATTCACACAACAAAAATATTTCTATGAAAGTTAATATATCCTTTCATGTTTAAGTGTGCCAAAACAGAAATAGAGGTAGAATCCCATTTTTCTTAAGTACCACTCTATTAGCCAATTCCACACAATTAAAGTATTTTTGCAACCTAAAATAGTGATGCTAATACTGCTTCAGTAAGCTAGATTTGCTAATTTAAGAATCCTAAGAAATTATATATGTGGCTTTCAGATATCCATGTTAAACTATCAACTAATCAATTTGTGGAATATGTGGAACACTTACCATATTTGAGTGACCATAAAGCAAACAACGCTAAAATTTTTTCTAATCAGTGTTCTTTGTTAAGTGACTATATGACACTTCACCATTTCTAACAGGAAAAAAAATGAGACTTACTTGGCAGTCTGCATGGGCTGCTGGAAACTAGTGTAAAGACAAATCTTCAAGTGTCTCAAAAATGTCTGTAGATAACTCAGAATAGTAACTCAGAATATAATCTATCGGGAACTATGGAATTCCATTTTAGTCTTCAAATAATAAACTCCACTTAGCAGGGATTGTGAGATTGCTCTTAAAATTATGGATTTACAGAACACAGTGGCCTCAGCACAAAATAGCTCACTCTAGACATCACTACTCTCCACTCTTCAAAAAAAAGTATATATATTCATTTAAAAAAAAAACACCCAAAATATCACCAGTACATTTTATAAAATTAAATCCAAATTTTATTAAGGATTTCAAGTTACATACTTCAAATTTCTAGAATGGAATGGAATCATTTTGGAACTGGAAAAATGGCATAAACACTGACATCCCTTAAGAAAATTCTTCTGCAAACCACATCCCCATTATGTAACAAGACTAGGTATTATCTACACCTTCACTTTGGCAATAGCTATTTCCTAAAGAATGAAAAAGATGATTTTGCTACTTCAGTTCATTAAAAATGGGATTCTATCTTTAAAGTTCAGAAAAAGCTGCATTTCGATGAACTATAGGTTAAAAAAAAAAAAAAACAAAAAGCACATAGTGTCTAATCAAAGCAAAGGAAATAATTTTGAAAATAAAGAGAAAAAAGCTATTACAATTGGTTAAGGATTTCCAGTAGTGAGTTAAAATCTCAGGAGAGGAATGGATAGCACTACAAATAATGTGTTCACATTCCAAGACCTTAACACTAACATCTCAAAAAGGAAGTTTTCACTACCTCTAAAAATGAATTCAATGTAATTTTATTAAGAGCAGGAAATCTAGACCTTCCTCTAATGACAATCCAATAATCCACCCTCGCTGTCATCAAAAGTTCAACCCCCAAATTAACAGTAATTAGCCTGAGGTATTATAAATGTGGCTCTACAGTCTGAAATTTAATGGCATCTTTTGTCAAAAATAGTCTTATTTCCACTTTAAGTCTCATGACAATACTATAGTGCTATCCCTGTAGTATTTACTACAATACAGTCATCAAAAATATCTGAAAAAAAATCTTGGACCTTGTGAAATAGTGCATCCATCCACTTCTATAAAAATAGGAGCCACGCAAAGATCTAAAAGAGTGCTGACTGCCCAGATCCAGAACAGAGGTACTTAACCTTTGTTTTCCAGTTTAGTTATCAAAGCGTGGTGTGAACAAAATGCTGAGTGTCACACTGGCGTTACAAATAGGCCCAAAATTTTGAGCTTTTAACAAGATTGAGAAACATTATATGAGATTTAACTCAATATGCCTTAACACATCCATGAGGTAGTTAGGTAAACAGTACTACCCATTTTAATACACAGTAAACAGAAGCATGGGTTTAAGTGACATATTCATACTTTAAGCAGTAAGAATTAGAAGAAACCACAGAAGCTTGGGGCCTTCTCTCTAGCTCTAACCCAAAGAAAATGAATTTAAAAAAAAAAAAAGCATCAAATCACTTAAGATTTTCTTTTTTCTCTTTTTACACTTGCTTATTAGTATAGTATCTCATGCCAAAGCTGTTACCCTTTTCTTCAATAATGTGGTAAAAACTGAGTATAACCCTTAATTCAAGGAAGGTCTCTGCTTCTACCTGAATTGGTACAAAATTAAGACATTATCTTGTAAGAACTAAAATTGTATTTGAAATTTTTATTTTAGGCTGCAAAAACAGAAACAAGCAAACAAACAACAAATAACTTGAAAATAGGCTTGTCAAATGATGTAAATTCATCCTTTCCAGGGAAGCAGAAGGTAGACCCTACCACAAAGAAAAGATGCTTAGTTAATAGAGGTTAAATTTAAAAGTACAGGTAAATTCAGGCTAACTTCTGAAAATCCCGTTTTATTCACCTCACTGTGGTACCAGTAACTACACTGAGCCAGGTTACTTTACAGTTAACTATGTCACCTAAAACACAATAATCCACTAACAATCTAATACAGTTATTGGGTGTGGTCATACTGGAAATTCTTAACCATATCGTTGTCTTGCCAATTTTTTTTTTAACGATACATTATCTTAGTATAAGTCACTGCATTTCTGTAACAAAGTAATGAAAGGCACAGCTAATCCAAGCGGACTTAACCCTATTCAACAACCAGCTGAAAAAATACTTTGGTTCTTCAAGGAAAAAAATCATGAAAAAAAAAAAAAAAAAAGGTATTTCCTTTAACAGTTGTTAATTTTCATAGCTGTACTCCAAGAGCTACATAAAAATATTCCAGAAGAACCAAATTATGTAGCAATGAATGAACATGCGTGACAGAATTTGTGCAATTCAACATATCTGGCAGAAAAACTAGCTAAAATGCTAGGTAGAACAAATTGGTCTTTAAAATATCAGTTTCCTGTCCTTTAAAAAAAAATTACCTAGTCTACCAAGAAAATACAAAAACATAAGGCTGTAAGTAAATAAGAGTTGTGTTTAGGCTATTACAGTGCAGGTTATCCTCAAGGCCACATACATCCTGCTTCACTGCTGCTTGCACTCTGCTGGGTTTTGATCCTTCTGTTAAAGGAAAACAAGAAGTCAATCTATCTTCTTCTACCTGCTTCAGTGAATTTCTCAATAGTAATTACTGCCTTAATTATAACAGTAGCTCACTGTTGTCAAAAGAAATGGTATAGGACAATGATGGTAAATTATTTTATTAGCAAGTCACTGAAATGCTAAAATCAAGCTCAAACTTTACACTGTAGAATTAATTCCATAAAATGACACACTAAACCATAATCTTAAAAAATAAAGTTACCAAGCAATTTATGTTAGTTATATTACCAATCAGCTTTGCTTTTGCTAATCCTAATATAACAAATTTTAAGGAATAATAGACAAGGACTCTCAGTGACTGAGTAAGAGTAGTTGGAAGGATCTAACAAACTGCACTGCTCCCCAGTTCCCGAACACTCCTACCACCAGATCTTTTAAAAACCTTTGTTTATTTTCTAATGCTTAAGAACTGTTATAATTTATCCCATTAAAATAGAATCCTAGGGTGCACTGTACCTGAAACTATAAAAAGTACAAAGTCCAAACAAAAAACAACGTTTCTTAGAAAAAGGTCCACTGAAATTATGTGTACTGTTCAAAATGCCAGTGGGACTGAAAAAAGAAAGTTATCCAGTCAGTAGGCTTTACTGATTAAAGACTTTAACGGAGAGAAACTTGATATTCAGAAACACCAACTCTTACTTTAGCTGTCTTAAATTTAATAGAAAGCAGCACTAATTTTGCTCACCTTTGGGTCATAGTCTGGATCATTTTCCTCATCTCCTTCTTCTTCCCCTTCCTATATTAAAGTTCAAAATGCATCCATGAAGTATGTACATAGTAGGTAAACTGGCTCATAATGTAGGGAAAATTTAATACAAGTTACTCTATGGGTCAACAGATTTTCATGATTACAGAGTTTGACGATAATACAATTTAATCTGAAAGCTTCTAATATGAAAAATTTCCCAACACAACTTGAGACATCCAGACAGCTTTTATTGAAAATAGTTACTGCAGCCAACGTTGGAAAAGTTTACTGCAGCTTTTGACTTCTTCAAAGAGCTGATAACCCTGCAGCAGAACAAAATTATTTGAAATAAAAAAATGTTGCTGAGTTTTGCAATTTATTTATTGAAACCTTATACATACATTGTTTGGCTGTAGAATTCTAAAATCATGTTTTCCAAAATGTTTTTATCCCAAATCACAGAATGATTATAGCAAAGGAATACATAAGTCATTCAATTTGCTTCTCAATGTGTTAACCACAGAGAATTATTTGCTCATTTGGTAAACATTACCTCATCCGCTTCTTCACCTTCTTCATCATACTGAAAAGGAAAAACAGCATATGTGTTGAGTGAATGTAACACACATTTCAGAGTAGCATTAGTAACATTCATCACTGTAAAACTAGTGTCTTAAAAGAGAAAACCTACTTTCCTATCAAGAGGCTGATTATAAATTAACACATAGTGGCTGCAATAATCACTCAGCTCACTGCCAATTTATAATAAAGAACAGAGTACAATCATGTGGATAAAATGGGTGATCAGACAAGTATTACTGTAAATATTACTCACCCACACTTAAGTGTGGAATGCACTGTACGAAAAGGACCTAAAGCCTACTCTAACAATGGCCGTTTAGCAATAAACATATCCAAAACATCTATATGCAGCCTAATCTTAACCTAATCATCACTCAATACTACCTTGAATAGAAATTCTATGCCTCCCAGTAAATGTTTTCTTGTGCACTAAGAAAAGTCCTAGTTCTGTGAAGTCAAGGGAAGGGCATAATACATCTATAGCACTAACCAAACATAAAAAAGTTTCACAAACTCAGAACAATCTTATTAGCAGAGAATCAAAAGCTAAATGAATCCAAAAATCCTAAGGAGACATACTGAAAACCCAGAAAAGCTATATCCAGAACATCAGTAATTAGCCTAATTTTGAATTATATTATGTCCTGTTTCTTAAAAACTAAACTCATCTATTACCAATTCTGACCACCATACCCTCACCCAATTATTTCTTTGCAGGATTCAAATTCACTTACATCATCATCATCATCTTCAATAGCTTCTCCAGTAAAATATAACACTGATCTCGGGATTATACGCTCACGTAAAAAGTGACCAATTTCGAAGTCTGCAGCAAGGATAGCTTCAGCATCATCATCCTATTTTTAAAGGAAAACAAAAGCAGAAAATTTAGGAATAACTGTGTTACTTAACGTGGCAATGTAAGACTCTTAGAGGCTGGGTGTTATGGCTCACACCGGTAGTCCCAACACTTCAGGAGGCCAAAGTAGGAGGATCACTTGAGCCCAGAAGTTCGAGAGCAGCCTAGGCAACACAGTGAGACCCCCACGTCTCTACAAAAAATAAACAATTAGCTGGGCAGGGTGGCACATGCCTGTAGTCTCAGCTACTTGAGAGGCTGAGGTGGGAGGATTGCTGGAGCCCAGCAGCTTGAGGCCGAAATGAGCTGTGATCGCACCACTGCACTCTAGCCTGGGCAACCGGGAAAAAAAACAAAAAACAAAACAAAACAAAAAAAACCTCTTCAGTTTAAATTACATGATGAAGGAAAGAAATGCTCAACTTTACTCTTTACTTTCCATGATTTTTCTCACACCATATTAACAAACAATTTGTCATTTTTAAATTTCCTTAATAACTTTTCCAAGTTTTTAACAAAAAGAAAAGCTAGCAGGCCAGTATGCATACTAAGAAATTGTGAAGAATAAAAAATTAGAACTGTTTACTTAGTTTTTGCTGGTTTAAACAGAAATACACAAAAGCAATTGTTACATATGTCTGCAATTTTCCTTTGCCCCTAGCACTTTGCTTTTTTAGAGACAGGGTCTCGCTATGTTGCCCAGGCTGGTCTCATGTGATCCTTCCACCTCCGCCACCAGAGCCGCTGGGACTACAGGTGCCTGAAGCTGTACCTGGCTTAGGATTTCTATTTAATGGCAAAGCACAGGGTAAAAGTGGGTCTGGCATTATTTACAATTAAAATAATTCTACTTCGGCAGGGCGTGGTGGCTAGCGCCTGTAATCCTAGCACTTTGGGAGGCCAAGGCAGGCGGATTACCTGAGGTCAGGAGTTCAAGACTAGCCTGGCCAACATAGTGAAACCCCATCTCTACTAAAAATACAAAAAATTAGCAGGTTCAGTGGTGCGCGCCTGTAATCCCAGCTACTTGGGAGGCTGAGACAGGAGAACTGCCTGAACCCAGGACACAGAGGTTCCAGTGAGTGGAGATTGCGCCACTGCACTCCAGCCTGGACAACAGAGCCATATTCCATCTCAATAATAATAATAATAAAAAAATAAATAATCTCACTTTAAGTTCTATGATACTAAACAATGAGCACGCCCTCTGTGAATTCCATGATGTTTGAGTCAACAACATAATCTAATAAATAAAAAAGTCCAAAAAGGGGGTGGGGAGGAATTCAAACCACAGGTGGAGGTTTTCTATCCTTAACTAGACTGTTTTGTCATCATCAATATTTAGTAACAAAAAAAAAAAATAGAACTTGAATACAAACTCCAACACATCCACTGATACGAAAACAGTGTGATGCTCTATCTTACTAAAGTAGTTTTTCTCACCTGAAACTCAACACTGCTTTATGTTCTCTTTTTTTGTCCTATAAGCCAAGCCAGAAATACTTACTTTTGCCTTTTACAGATTTGTTCTAAGCCTTAGCCAAGAGTATTCCAATTCAAAAGTATTCAGTTAAGGTTAATTTCTAATTCCATATATGGACAAACTATTTAAACTATCTCAGTTAATTTAAATTCAAAAACATGCCCAAAAGAAAACCAAATTCAAAACATACCTGCCATACCTTGCGTGTATAGACTTTCTTTAAGGTTGTTCCTCAGTTCAGGCTATATGGCAGGAACATTTCATGGTTCTCTGCCATATGCCATATATATGAACATACATAGTCACAATATGAAATCATATTTACATTGGGGTAACAAATTCAGGAATGCATTCTAACCATAATGTAGTTAGGAATATAACAGTATAAATGACTTAATACATTCTGGTTTTACTAAGGAAGACAATAGTTTTGAAAAGTTAAATCTCAGCCGGGCGCGGTGACTCAAGCCTGTAGTCCCAGCACTTTGGGAGGCCGAGACGGGCGGATCACGAGGTTAGGAGATCGAGACCATCCTGGCTAACACGGTGAAACCCCATCCCTACTAAAAAATACAAAAAACTAGCCGGGCGAGGTGGCGGGCGCCTGTAGTCCCAGCTACTTGGGAGACTGAGGCAGGAGAATGGTGTAAACTCGGGAGGCGGAGCTTGCAGTGAGCTGAGATCCGGCCACTGCACTCCAGCCTGGGCGACAGAGCGAGACTCCGTCTCAAAAAAAAAAAAAAAAAAAAAAAAAAAAAAAAAGAAAAGTTAAATCTCTCACAGCTTTGTAAGTTTCAAAAGAAAAGAAAACCTTAAGCTTTTTATCTCAGTGTTTCTCAGTAGAGGCACTGATATCATTCTGAATGGAATTACTTTTCAGATCCAAAATGTCTGCCCCATGCATTGTAGGCCTCAGAACTCAATGTAACAACCATCCCACTCTCCACTTGAAATTCGGTGCTTTAATTTCAAATATAGTTAACAATTCAATAAATAAATAACAATTCAACTTACCAGATCTCCACTCTCAGGAACTGCAAAATTCAGAAAAGAAATTACAATGAATAAGAAGCTAAACAACGCTTATTATAAAATAACCACTAATACTCACACTAAAACATTATTTACCTTCAGGAGGGGCAAAAAAATTAAAGAAAGAGTCATTGGAAACTGTTTTAGTCACAGTACGAACTGTCCCACGTCCCTTGTGTTTCTGCTTCTTCTTAATGGTTTTCAAAGTGACATTCTTTCCTTTTTTCCAATCTATCTGGCACCTTGCAAAACAAAGAAGAAAAATCTATTACAATTGACAATCTTTCAACTGCTGAACTTCTAGAAGTAAATGTTCTATTTAGATTTCAAATTTTAGAAGGGTGAATTGCTTCAAATGTTTTCTATAGCAGTATAAAGGGAAAAATTTTATTTCTAATCAAATATTTAAAATAAACATATTTACAACTAGCATAAACACATAGTATAATTTAAAGAAGCATTCCTTTGCAGAAATATATGTGAGACAGTCGTGGGCCCAAGGAGAATTACAGGAAAATTGATAAGCACTTTTCAGAAAACATATTACCAAAATGTTCAGAGACAGACTATGTACATATATGAAACTGAAAATAACCGAGTATACAAATCAAGTATAACAAAAACAGAAAAAAACCATTTTGTTAAGGTAGTAAAATTAAACTCACCCTGTACAACCCATAATTTCTGGTCCATCAAAAGAAAAGGGATCAGAATCATCTGGTTCTGACCTCATCCTATATGTCTTTGTCAGCACTTCATTTGTAAAATATTCATTGGGTTCAAAGTGAAATTCTAAGACAAAACTCTGAGGAGAGGAAGCATAAAAATCAGTTAAATACCTACCTCATACATTTCAATACTTTAGTAAATACAGCTTAATCTGTGTTTTTTAATAAACATGTATAATATTCTAAATAGTAATTTTTTTTCTACTCTGAAATACAATCTTTTTCTTTTTGAGAAAGAGTCTTGCATTGTTGCCCAGGCCGGAGTGCAGTGGCACAATTTCAGCTCACTGCAACCTGTGCCTTCTAGATTCAAGTAATTCTTGTGCCCCATCCTCCCAATTATCTGGGATTACAGGTGTGTGCCACCACACCCAGTTAATTTTTGTATTTTTAGTACAGACAGGGTTTCACCAGGTTGGACAGGCTGGTCTTGAACTCCTGACCTCAAGTGATCCACCTGCCTTGGCCTCCCAAAGTGCTGGGATTACAGGCGTGAGCCACCGCGCCCAGCCCTGAAATATTTAAGAATGGGACAGACTGTCAGATAAGCCCCAAATTATGCTAAAATCAAAAAAACTATGTTAAAATCAAAATGAGGTACAAATTGAACTGAATAAAGCTTAGTTTCAATTTACAACTACTAAATAATTAACATGTTTACACAACAGGCTAGGCACACCTGAATAAAGTGACCATGTTGTCTCCCTTACTCCCCAACTACCGGAGGAATCAGGCTTTTAAATAGCATACTAAACGTGAACTTGACACAGAAAAAGCCCAACCTTAAGCATCTACAGCCTATATTCTTAGTAGTTTTGCCCATAGTTGACATTAACACTGGTGGTTTGGTGGACAGGTTGTTCGCTGATTTTTCCTTATTAAGGGGTGGGTGTCCTCTAACATCAGTTTCATGTAATTCCCAATTTCATTAATGCAGAAAAAGTACTTATTCACGTTCCCTTGGCATTATTTTTATCCACTTATCCAAGAATAAGGATTATCTGTGTTTCAAACACAGTTTATGTTCAGAAGGAGGAAAAGGAAAAAATACTGCCTCACAATTAGCAGCATCCAAATATTTATTCACTACAACCAAGAGCACCAACCTTACCCTTGAATGTTATCTTTTTAAAAGTTTCTATTTATCTACCTGTTAAGTTTCTATCTATCTGTAAGCATGTTACAAAATTATAAATATTTCAAAGTTCTCTTACCATAGGCTGGCCAGCATCTGAGAACTTCACTTTAATATCTTTCAAGTGTTTCAGAATAGGTTCATCATGTTCCTTCAAATTAAAAAATAATAATAAAAATGAGTAACATGGCATTTGAGGATTGTCTTCTATTACTACACAGACACTAGCTGACTGAGACATAATATATTTTAAAGTAGTTTTGTACAGCAATTACGAACCTTAAGACTTACTCTCCAGGTTATGGCTTATACACTAAAGCTAATTTATACTGTAGTTCTACTGCCACTGGTAGAGAAAAAGTGTCCAAGTAGACAACTAAATCATTATATAGGCTGAAAAATTCAAAATCAAGTCTAAATAAGGCATATCTGCTTTAAAAATGTTTCCTGATTATAACTGCTGCCTTTTCCAGCTGCTTGTCTCCTTCCTCCTGGTTGTTCCTTTTCCACTTTGCTAAAGTAGAATTGTAATTAAGTAGTAATTATGTGGAAATCATTTCTTTTTCTCCATGTAACTTCCAACGACGACAAGACAGGGCAACATGTACTACTACAATGTAGACGGTAGGGGTAGGGGCTCACTCAAGAAATGCTTGAAGCAAAGTTTCCCAAAGGTGACAACTATTATGGTTTGCCAGACAATGTAACCACTGTGAATGAGTTTAACATCTTTATAGCATTCTTTTAAAATGCAAATTTCTCCTGGAAGAGTTAAGGGAATTGTATAATTGCAGCTGTAAGAATAACTTTCCCATCATACTTCCATACTAAGTATGTAAAGACAGAAGGCACAGGGTAATGAGAAAACACCAGTCGATAATGAGCAATTATCAATGGGACCACTTCATCATCTCATTTTTTAAAATAAACTGTAATTTATTTGATGACATTAATCAAAGCTATAATTTCCCTTCTACAGATATTAACTGTTTAAAAAGTAAGCAATCATTCTAGAAAGATCAACACTGAAGAGAACAGTCATCACAGCCATTTAAACTTCAAAAGTTTACCCTTCAAAGTAAACTGGCACGTTTATGAATAAAATTACCTGAACCATATCACTGAGCAAGTCAACATTCTTAAAAACAGTTAACCAAAATTCAGGAATTCCTTTGGGGTCTTCTTTTTCTTCATCCTTTTTCTCATCTTCGATCTTGGCCTTTTCTTTCAACTCCTCCTTGATAAGTGACAGCAAACATTACGTAATACATAGATTAGACCTCTTGATTAAGTAACAAAGGTATAAAAACCAAAACGCACAGTCACCAGATATTACCTTCAAAGTTCTAGTCTATCTGTGTAAACACTGCCGTTGTCCGTAACAAACCTTAATTAATCCCTTCAAAATTACTGCTACCACACCCCTCCAAAGAGAGCCACTAAAGTGACCAAGATCTGTAGGAAAAACCATTTTAGTTTAAAAAAAAAAAAAAAAATTTTTTAACTAATTAAAAATGAAGACTTAAGCATAGTAAACAAGAAAAGCAACAGAAATACTAACTTGGTCCAATGCCTCACCCCATGGTGTTATTAATCAAAACATTATATTCTCTTTACCAAACAACATAAAATAGCAATGCTAGAGAGTTGGATCACTTAACACAGCACTGAATGTGTGTCACAGCTCTGCCATTATTCACTGTGGGCAGGTCACTTAGAAGCCTCCATGTCTTCACTTGAAAATGGCAACAATCCTCAGCCTATCATGAAGTTAAAAAAAAAAGTATATAATGAATCTACAAACTAAAAACTGTTAGCCAGGCATGGTGGCTCACACCTGTAATCCCACCACTCTGGGAGGCTGAGGCGTGTGGATCACTTAACATTAGGAGTTGGAGACCAGTCTAGCCAACATGGCCAAACCCCACCTCTACTAAAAGTACAAAAAATTAGTCAGGCATGGTGGCGCATGCCTGTCATCCAGTTACTGGGAGGAGGAGGCAGGAGAATTGCTTGAACCCAGGAGGTGATGTTGCTAAATGTAGACAATGATTAGAGAAGAATTTTCCAAATGAATTTGCAAAACTTACTGTAGAAAATTCACCCAAACAAGAAGCTGGAATTAGTCAGGGTCAAGGAACAGCAGGGGAAGAAGAGGAGAAAAAAAAAACAGAAGAGAGGTGGAAGGGGTCAAATAAAACAAAAAACAAAGACCATACCACAAAAGATTACTATAGCCAAAATTCCCAGAGCAAAGAAATATGTGACAAGTGTGTGTAGCCTTGTAACTTTTGAAATTGATCTTAAAACACAAAAAGATTTATTGCTCAAAAATTCTCCTGTGGTGCCTCAGTAACAGGGGAGGATGAAATTATCATTCAAGGAGACTTTACAGATGACACAACTGATGTCATTCAGGAAAAATGGCCAGAAGTACATGATGACAGCATCGAAGATCTTGGAGAAGTGAATTTGAAAATTTGTCTGTAGTTAATGGCCTGAACTTAGAGTTGATATGGCCAAAGGGAGAGAGGCCTTTATAAACATATATATATATTTTCTACAGTAAAACTGTAGACTGCCCTCCCTCATCCTTGGCATTTTCACTGTTCTGTACAAGGCTGCTTGTTTTTATTGCCAAAGTCAAATAAACAGGGGAGACTATCATGTTCATGCATGAATACAATTTAGTCAAATAAAAAATTTTGGTCATTTGGTACTGACTTTTTTTTTTTTTTTGAGATGGAGTCTCGCACTGTTGCCTGGGCCGTAGTGCAGTGGCGTGATCTTGGCTCACTGCAACCTCTGCCTCCCGGGTTCAAGTGATTCTCCTGCCTCAGCCTCCTGAGTAGGTGGGATTACAGGCGCCTGCCTCCACGCCCAGCTAATAATTTGTATTTTTAGTAGAGACAGGGTTTCACCGTGTTCGCCAGGCTGGTCTCAAACTCCTGACCTCATGATTGGCCCCCTCGGCCTCCCAAAGTGCTGGGATTACAGGTATGAGCCACTGTGCCTAGCCTTTCTCTTTCTCTTTTTATTTTTTGAAAAAACCCAGCAGACTTTTTGTGGGGAGCATTTTTGTTGATTATTTTATTGACCTAAAGCTGAGTGATTTTTTAAAAGAAATTGAATTTGGCTCCCTCACCAATAATATGTCTCCTTTCTTCTTTGATGTGATAGTTTTGAGATGGGTGAGAATCTAATAGATTTGTGGCAGAATCTGCTTCGTTGTTATGAAGTCCACCCTATGGGCACAATAACATACTGTTGGTAGGAGGTGTTCGAGCTATTCTGGAGATTATTTGGTAAAGTATACTAAAAGCCCTAAAACCATGTATGTGCACTGTTTGAACCAATAAGCTACTTCTTTGACATTAGAAGACATCAGAGGAAACAATAAGCCTTGCAATAAAACTTATGGATGAAAGTATTCTTCACAATATGATTTATAATAAAAAATTGCAAATGTTATAAATGAACAATTGGAAAATGGTTAAGGAACTGATGGTGCACACTGTGTGGTATGTTTATGTTTAAAGATGTGGTTTGCATATATGTTTAAAGAATCATATTTTCTAAGATTATTTGGAAACATGTTTGGTAATGCCAAGTGGGGGCACACCAGATACATCTTAGACATTTATCATCATCATTCTGAGTGGAAGGCCATTCAGAGATGCTAGAGGTTCTTATTCTGGCCATAAATCACATGAGTAAAATTCTGCTAACCAATTAAAAATAATGTACACCCAAGCTCAATATATAGTCCTGGAAATAGCAATTGAAATATGTCTTCTCACAAGAGAAAATGACAGTTTTAATGATGCATTAGATGAATTTAAACTTTAAGTCAGGTGCTGCAAATTGGATAGAAGACTTGTAGTTTTAATGCTGTGGACACTTTTAAGAAAGAATCCATGAAACCACTGCTTATTGCCATGCAAATTACAATCTTGAATGACTGTTTTTTAATATAAAGTATTAGAAAAATGTAAGATGTAAAATTAAAAAATGAAAAAAATACAACTAGTTATATAATATTGTACTCCATCATTAAATGCTAACATTTCTGACAAGTCCTAAGATTTTACCATCTATAAAACATACTAAAATAAAGTTGGTACTAACCGAAATCTCATCTTCTTCATCTGGTTTCCATTCACATTCTTCTTCCGTAGGTTCATAAATTGCATTAATAATCTCAAATCGCTAAAATGATTAAAAAAAAAAAAAAAGGCTGTATAAAATCACTGGCATCCAAGGTAAAACCAGTGGTTTCTCACTAAGAAGTCTTATAAATTTAACAAATGCATACCACAACTTTAACTATTATTGATAGTTCCTCCAAGTGCCTCTAATAACAATTTCAATGAGAGTTCTAAAGACTAACCTCTTCCAAGTCTGCTTATATTTCCACACTTCATCTTCTAGAATGTTAAATTAAACAAAGTAGGAGAAAGCATTACCTTATCAAACAGAGGCTGATAGAGAACAGCATACTTCCTTTCAAGATCGTGAACTTCCTCATAGAATTTGGCTTCTATCTGTGCACATTTAACTTGCAGGTTTTTGAGAGCATTCACTCGTCTTTTAACTACCCTAGGCAGGCTGAAAGGTTAGAAATCAGTTACATAGCATCACACTAAAACGGAAGTCACACTTCTTTTGTCATACTGAAACTGAAGCATTGGAGTTAGTGAATGATAGGTTTTTTATCTGAAGCAAAAGGTAGAGTCAAAGTAAATAAAAATCAAATAGATATAAATATACTGACCCACTGGCTATATTTCAAAAGTAGAAATGTAACTAGGTAAATTGATAAAATGTACATCATATTGTCAACCCTAAATCTTTACCCAAGTTAAGTGCTGGACTTGTCATTGCTGAAGTCATGGACTAATCATTTTAATTCTGAGAATAATGATTACTTAGATTTTTCTTTTACATATATCTCACCTATACTAGTTATTAGGAAAAGGAGGGGAGCATATGTATATCAGGAAAAAGGACAAGATTCCACACACCATTATTTTATTTTAGTCTCCATATTTAATTAGGAATTAGTAATCACATTATTAAATAAGAGTGTAACATACTATAAAGAGCAGACATGTATTTTTAAAATAACAGCTTTAGGCCAGGTGCTATGGCTCACAACTGTAGTCCCAGCACCTTGGGAAGCCAAGGTGGGTGGACTGTTTGAGCCCAAAAGTTCAAGACCAGCCTGGGCAACACGGCAAAACCCTGTCTCTACAAAAAATACAAAAATTAGCTGGGTGTGGTGGTGCATGCCTGTGGTCCCAGCTACTTGGAAGGCTAAGATGAGAGGATCACCTGAGCCTGGGACGTCGAGGCCGAATTGAACAAGATTGCACCACCACTGCACTCCAGCCTGGCTGACAGAATGAGACCCTGTCTCAAAAATAAATAACAGCTTTGATGAGATAAAATACATACACCATACAATGCACTGTGAAGCACTATTTTAATTTTTATTTTAGGTCAATCTAAAATGTATGTGTATACCCTATATATATGTATACCCTAAAATATGGGTATATGTGAAGGTCTGCTGTACAGATTATTTTATCACCCAGGTATTAAGCCCAGTACCCAATACTTAATTTTCTGCTCCTCTCCCTCCTCCCACACTCCACCCTCAAGTAACCCCAGTGTCTGTTGTTTCCTTCTTTGTGTTCATGAGTTCTCATCATTTAGCTCCTACTTATAAGTAAGAATGTGTGGTATTTGGTTCTCTGTTCATGTGTGAGTTTGCTAAGGATAATAGCCTCTAGCTCCATCCATGTTCTCACAAAAGACATGATCTCGTTCTTTGTATGGCTGCATAGTATTATGTGATGTATACATTTTCTGTATCAGATCTGTCATTGATGAGCATTTAGGTTGATTCCATGTCTGCTACTGTGAATGGGGGCACTGATTTTTAACAGGTTATACACACTAGGTTTTGAGTCTCCTAAAGAATGATTAAACCTCTCTAATAATAAATGTTCACACTTAAAATGTACCTAACTTCAGGGAATCTATGCAACAGATACAAAATCCAGGTTAAAATTTCCTGCCACAAACTTTTGTGAATCAAATAATTCACTTAGTCACTAGTTTATTTAATATTATTAGAAATAAAAAACAACCCCTTGAAGATACCAACTTTCTATTTCTGCTAATTTTAAGTAAAAAGCACTACTCTGCCAAGGTGGTGAACCAGCATGGGCTTCTGGCTTTTCTTGCTCCCCCAAAAAGCTAATCCCAGAAACTTTAGAACAAGAATGAAGCAACTACTGAGGCACACACACACCATAAGCAATTTCAGGTAAGACTGGAGGTTGTGTTTAACTGGTACAGGGTGACCAACAACTTCGGGAGAGAATGGCCACAGTAGGTAGCCATGCGGACAGGCTGGAAGATAGCAATTCCGCAAGAAAACTTTTTAAGTTCTGCTCCTGCCTTGCAACAATCATTGTCTGTCATCTTCACCCTTCACAAGAGCCGAACGCCAGGGTTGATGAAAGCTGCACTGGTTCAAAGCCCTCAAACATGTATTTGCTCCAATCTAGGAATAATGAATTGACAACCAAAGAAGACTAGTCCCCCACCCCTACAAAGCACACCATAAAAATTGCCTGGACTGGCAGCAAACTTTCAGTCTAAGGCAACTAGTGCTGCACTACTTAGGCTCACCCTGTGCCCTTCTCCTTGTCACAAACCTTCATTTCTCCCCAAATATTCATTATTAGGGTAACTGGTATTGCCTAATGTGCCAGAGCTTGAAGAATAACTAGACACTTCAAGGGTACAATTTCTATGAAAGAGTGAAATGATTATCATCTGAAGCAGCATAATTAGAGAATTTAAACAAGAATGTAAATATACTTAGAGATGAGGAAGATTAACAACATGCAACAAGACCAAGAAATCTAAAACAGAGAGGGAATGTTAAGTATGAAAAATACAATAACTAAAATAGGCAACAAATAAGAGAAACAGGATAGATTAAACTGAAGATAAAGTCCATGATGTTGAAAAGTTCTACCAGAAGGCAGCATGAAAGACAGATGGAAAATAGAAAAGCTCTGAGATATGGATGACAAAAGTAGCAACAGCTGACAAACAGAGAAGGGGTACAAAATCTTAACATATGAGAATGATACATTTCTCAGAATTAAAGCAATATAAAAATCCTTACTCTGCTTCCTAGACATGTTAATGAGATTTATGAATATCAAAGACAAGAAATTTCTAAAGGTATCCAATGAAAAAGAATAACCTACAAAGAAAAAGGAATCAGACTAACAACAGGCATTAAAAGAAACGCTGAAATAAAGAAAAAATAAATTGTAGTTTTTAAGAACTCTGAATTTACTACTTCATAGCCAAACTATTATTCAGATATAAAAGCAAGACAAAAATTGTATCAGGTATACCAGGCTTCAGGTTTGCCACAGATACTCACTATATATTACTAAAAGCAACTTTGGAGGAAATTAAAAAAAAAATCCAGCAGATTCTATGTAAGGTATGGGTGCAGTCAAATATCTTGGTAAATTTCTTGCCTTGAAGGGAAAAATAGAGGGCCAGAGAAAGCATGTTTATAAACAATATAAATATTGGTAAATTTAAGATATCAATAGGGGTAAATAAACTTAGATACTAGGTTATAAGCCACTACCATAGTAACAAAAATCAATGCATTAACTTTGGAACCAGCAGAAGACGACTTGATTTATCCAATGGGAAGCCGATAAGAAGAAAGACCCAAAGTAAAATAAATTTAAAAAGACAAAGATGGCAGCAATAAATCCAAAAACAATATAACTTTTAAGAAATGCAAAGTCAGCCTTACTAATAATAAAGAAGCAAACATTGAGGCCGAGTGTGGTGGCTCATGCCTGTAATCCCAGCACTCTGGGAAGCCCAGGTGGCTGAATCGCTTTAACTCAGAAGTTTGAGACCAGCTTGGCAACATGGTGAAACCCCATCTCTACAAAAATAAAAAAATTAGCCAGGCATGGTGGTGCGTGCCTATAGTCTCAGCTACTTGGGAGGCTGAGGCAGAAGAATCGCTTGAGCCCAAGGCTAAGGCTGCAGTGAGCCGTCATTGTGCTATGGCACTCCAGCCTGGAGACAAAGCGAGACACTATATCCAAAAAATAAAAGAAGCAAACATTGATCTACAGGAAGAAACAAAGATGAAAAGATGAAAAAGACATACTAGGTTAAAAGTCTAAAAAAAAAAAAAAAAAAAAAAAAAAAGAGGCTGTGGGTGATGGCTTATGCCTGTATTCCCAGGACTTTGGAACACCAAACTGAACCCAAGAGTTCGAGACCAGTCTGGGCAACACAGGGAGACCCCATCTCTACAAAAATAATAGCCAGGCACGATGGTATGTACCTGTGGGTCCCAGCTACTTGTGAGGTTGGGGTGGGAGGATCACAGTGAGCCATGAGTGTGCCACTGCACTCCAGTGTGGATCACTGAGTGAGGCCTTGTCATAAAAGCTGGGGGTCGTTATCGTAATATCAGACAAATAAAAATTATGGCCCCCCCAAAAAAATTATAAAATACAAAGGAAGACACATATCAGTAAAATGAAACAAGAGAAGAAATGTTTATCACAAATATTATACACCTAATATGGCTTCAAAATATTTCAATCTACAAATGACAGAAAAAACTGTCAAGTCAAACAGACAACCAATAAGCAGAAATAAAGAGAAGCTGTGAACAATACAATAAGCTTGAGCTATTAATTTCAGCATACAGATCTTCACAGTCAACATTTACAAAAGTAAGAGTATTAAGGCCATAAAAAACACAAATTAAAAAATAAAATCAAATGAATTAAGCATTCAATTTAAAAAACTGGAAAGAGAGAGTACCATAAAGCAAACCTAAAAAAGAAATAACATTAATGCCAGAAATCAGACAGCCACAATAACGAAAGACAGTCTGGAAAAAAGGAAAATCAAAAGCCAAATTAATATTCTAAAAAATTAATAAGATCAAGACAACTAGCAGAATTAAGATGCAAAATACAGAATATGAAAACCAGATTTTTAAAACTATTGTCAACTATGTACTAATCAATTTTAAACCTAAATGTGTACATGTTTAAAATATGAAACTCCAAAACTGATGAGAGAACTTGAATAAATTAGTATGTCAAACCAAAAAAAAAAAAAAAATTCTCCAAAACTCCCCAGGACCTCTACCTCCCAAACTCCAAAGGTACAAACTAAATTTTTAGAAGAGTTCTACCCTAAGAACAGCTAATTCCTATCTTATACAAGTTGTTTCAGGAAATAGTAAAAATAAAAAAAAGCAGCCATTCATTAGAGTAGGCAATTGAAATTTGACTCCAAAAACCAGTTAAGTATTACCACTTCCTGAAAGTTTCTTTATGCACATACCTACATGCATGCACACAACACAAGCTCATTTCACTAACAAGTAAGAACTGTAAAATTCAATTACTCAACAATGTATCAATAACACATCATGATTCAATTTACTACAGGAATGCAAGGCTAGTTTGATATCCAAAATAAGTATTTCCAAAACATGTATTTACTATATACTTAATATATTGAAGGAAAAAGTTCAATAGAGCATCTTAATTGATAGAAAAAAACAAAGGTCAGATTAAAAAACAGTAAATAGGCCTGAATTTAATAGAGATTTTATATTCATTCCCAGTATGAACAGAAATAAGACAAAGATGTCCTTTTTTAATACTAATGTTTAACACAGTAGTGAAAGTCCTGGTAATGTTGTAAAGAAAAATACGTGGTATAACGTAATGTGGAAGAACAGAGCTAAAACTGCCATTATTTGCAGATAAAAATCTTGTGTTAAACTAAGGGGGCAAAACAGAACACATTACTACAATAAATTTAGCAAAGTTACCAGATACAAGGGCAACTTAAAAAAAAACAACAGCAATCCTCTGTAAATCAAGAACAGCCAAACAGAAAATACAATAAAAAAAATGCTATTCACAACGCCACACAAAATACACAGAAATTAACTTAACCAACAGACTCTATGAAGATAACTTTGAAACTAAAGACACAGAATGTGACCTGAATAATTAGAAGTATGTGGATGAGACAATATTAAAAGATATAATTCTGTAAATCTATAAATGCAATACAATTCCTATCAGAGTTTTAATATTTTTTTTTGCTTGTTGACAACCCTGATAAACATAACTGTCAAAAATGTGGATGATTGTGTTTGGGGGAAAAGTGTGAAAGGATGCAACCTGCCCTGCCAAATATTAAGACAACTATAAAGTCATAGTAATTAAGTGTTACAATGACAAGAGACAAAGACCAATAAAACAGAAGAGTGCTGCTCAAAGACAAACACAGGTGTTTACAACTTGATATGCAATGAAGGTAGGTGGTACAGCTAAATGGGGGAAGAATGGATTGATGAGTGAATAGTGAAAAAAAAAACTAGCTCATGTCACTGGAGGAAGACCCAAAATAAACAAATAAATAAACCTTGCTCATTAAAAAATGAGGCAGAAAAAAAAGGAACTGGAAGTTTACATACACCAAATAGAAAGGTAGACTCCAGAGGGATTTAAGACCTAAATGTAAAAGGTAAAACTATTCAATAGGAAACGTAGCAGAATCCAGGAGGGACTTCTTAAACAGTTTCAAAAGCACAAGCCCTAGGGCAAAATATTTTACTAAAATAAAACTTAACTGTTTACCAGAGGACTCCATGGCTAAATTAGTAGAAATGACACATTATTTAGAATGTCTAAAAACTGATAAGGGAATAATATTTGGAATACAAAGACTTTTGCAAAGCATTAAAAAAAAAAATTGCAATCCCAACATGGATTCAAAAAGGTTCAAGCATTATGAAGAAAAGCTAAAAACTCATTTGAAATCATAAAACACAAATAAGACAAAATGAGTCTGTACCTCTTAGACTGATTTAAAAATATAAACAAAAACCCTACAAAGCTGGATGGTGCCAATTGTTGGCAGACATGAAGATGAATCCATCTTCTTGCACTGGGTACAGTATTTCTGGAAATCATGCTAGAAGCATAATGCTTAAAGGCTTGCATACTCTATGTAAGTGGCACTCCCACTGCTGAGTACACATCTCAAAGAAATTCTCACACAGTTCCTTTACAGGCTATGTAATTGAATTTGTGTTGATAAAGGAGTCCATTGTAGGAAAAGCAGATAATAAATAAAACACAGCGAACACACACCACACAGAACTAGGCAACATTCAGAAGCTACTAGCTATAATTAACATATAGATAGTAACCTGAATGGATCTTAAAATCACAAAAAAGTTTTAATGTGTAAGCTGCATAAGATATTCATGCTATTAGTAATGATTTATGTCACCAGTGAAATAAGAAATCTGTATTTCTTCTAATTCTGTGCATTTCTAACATACCTCTAAACAAATCTCTGAAATGCTTAAGATCAGTATACTTCCTATAAACTTGAACCACAATGAACTTTAAAAGACCAATGTAAACAGGTGGTACTAAGCACAATTTTAAACTTCCAATAATCCTATACTGGATACTAACAGACAACAGGTTTCCACTACTGCATACCTAAATCCTAGATGGTCTTAAAAACAGATACGCCTGCAACGTTGATTGATTATAGAAAGATAAATAAGGACCATGGAAAAGGAGAACTTGTACCTTTCAATGTATCCTGTTGGTGTTTCTACCAGACCATCAAGTCTTTCTTGAAGGGCTGCAAGAATCTGAGGATTTTGCATCATCTGAACAGTTAGCTGACGTGCTTTAAAAAAAAAAAAAGGGCATCGAAAGAAGGATTTTATGAAAATGTATTATGCTTTTTTAATAGGACAATCCAATCTCATGAAGTTTTCCTAACTGGCCCATAAATTGCTGGTGTATCTAATGAGTAAAGACGGGCAGGGCAAGCTAAAGAGAATATACTCTAGGAAAACCCAATGTTCAGGAATAATTCAGATTCCTAATCTATCCCTAGTCAAGGCATTTCTCAAGGTCATTGCCACAACTACTATGAACAATATCCTTCCTCTTCCTGGTATCTTGTGTTTCACCCACCTTGCATTTTAGGAAGCTTAAAGCTTCATTCAGATGCCTATCTATGACTCTTGACAGTCCTTTGAATGCAGACAACACATATCAGAAAAACTGCAAATATATTGACAGTTTTAAGCCCAGGAGAAAGGTGAAGTGAGTGATCTGAATGTTTATGTTTGATGCTTGTGTAATGTATTTCTATGTGTATGAATAAAGTTAATAGTTGAGACAGTCAACAGTTGCAACTGAAGCCAAACAAAATGTGGTTATAAATGGCTTTTTAAAAACATAATCCAAATATACACTAGATTTTTACAAAACAAATTACGCTACTAATCTTCTCTTCATCATCAATACAGTTATTACACAAAGTGCCATAAACTTAATTTTCCCAATTATGTTTTTGGAGGTCAATTTACTTCTGATAATAATTCAATTATTGGATGATGTACAGCCAGGATAACCAATATAGATTTTTAAATATCAATATTGGTCAATGAGGATACAGTTCTATATCTGTTAAGAAAATGTTACAAAATGAAAGCTGAAGCTATTAATACAAGTTCTGAAGTCTTTTCACAATTAACTTCCATCTGGCTTAAAAATGAAAAGCTGAGTCATCAGGTACCTTAATATTCTTGGCCCAGATCTACAGGACATACCATAAGCAGTACAAGCCCCCACCACCACTCCTTTTAAAAAGTATCTGCTAAAATAAATTGTGAATATTACCTACATTTAATAAATGGCTTTTCTGCTTGAAGGAGTGGATTTTTAAGAAGACACACACTACATGTTCTCTACAAAATTAAACACTAAACATACTGTTATAAGCACCACATCACAACCTGTAACATTTTTAAATTCAGACAGAACTCATGGGCAGCTGTTTGACACAGGTACACCAAGTCGCTCCAACAGTGCAGGATGCAAACAATGACTTTTGAGTCACTGTATCTATACCTAACCTCTCCTTTCTCTCTCTCGAACAAATACACACACATACACACACACACACACACACACACACACACAAAGTTTCTAGAGGTATGGACCAGTAGATAAAATGGGACAATGAGAAGGGTCCAAAAAAACAGACTGGTACTTATAACTACCCTCTAGTGGACATGTGCCAGCAATCATTGGCTCCTGAAGTAATTTAAAGTAATACCTTTGATTTTTGTTTCTTCACCAGTTTCCTCTTCTTCTACTTCTTCAACATCATCCAAATCTTGATCAAGTTCAGACTGTTCTTTGCTATAATATCATAGTATCACACCAAGGTTCAAATGTACCAATTACCAAAAAAAATTACAGAAAAACTTAAAATTCATTTTCAAAATTAGTATCTCTTTCAAAGACATGAAATAGGAAATTCAAAAGGTAATTCCATTTTCTAACTTCAGATGTAAACAAGTACAAACTGGAAGTGTTTAAACTTTCATTAAAAGCATCTGGTCAAATGTGAAGTTTATACTTTTCAAGCTTTATGAAATTGGTTTTGTAGGTTTTTGTGGAATGTGATGTCAACAAGTATGTGCATTCAACCCAGTATCTACTGATTTTACTTTTTCTTTTTAGTAACAACATCCTCATTTTATATGAGATGGCAACACACCAACCTAAAAGTCTACATTTCCTAGCCTACCTTCAGCTAGACTATTTTGGCAGCAAGATAGAAAAACAGAAGTGCTGCATTTCTTTGAGGAAGTATCCTTAACAGGAAAGCAGACAGCTGGGAAGCCTTTATCTTAATCCCTTCTCCCCCTCCCACTTAGAGTATTAATGTGGTGGCTCGAGCTCCAGCAGCCACACTGGACTAGGAGGCATCCTAGGGAATGAAAGCCACCAGCTAAAGAAAAAGGAGTAAGGAAAAACAGAAGAATCCTGGATCCCTTATGGATGTGGAGCAACTATACCAGCCTATACTATCTTTGGACTTTCCTTTTCTTTACTTCATAGTGGAGGTTAAGAAAGAATAAAGTGAAGACTTCAGAGTCTAGCTCTTGTTTAGAACAAAGCCAAGATGACAGCACCATTCAAAGAGAAAGTTAAAAAGCAGTTAGATAGCATCCTTCTCATTTCATCTTAAAAAAAAAAAAAAATCACCAAAAATCAAATTTTTGAAAATGAGATTACATCTAGCATTAGAAAGGAAAATAAGGATTCCAAAGTCAATATAAAAGGTCATCGTACAATTCCTGTGTGAATTTTTTTTTTAACATTTGGATTAGAAATACAGTTGCTTTTGTGTTTAAACAGCATTTGAAAAATTAATTTTCCATAGGGACAAATGATGACTTAATTTTCATACAACTACAGAAAAAAATCAACTGTACTCTGCCAGCATAATTTAAGTTCCTGTCAACTGAGGGAAAGAATTCAGTCTTCAGAAATGATACATATTATTTCTGAAAGCTTTTTTTTTCTTTTTTGAGACAGAGTCTCTCTCCACCCAGGCTGGATGGAGCGCAGTGGCACAATCTCGGCTCACCACAACCTCTGTCCCCCAAACTCAAGCAATTCTTGCGCCTCAACTTCCTGAATAGCTGGGACTACAGGAGTGCGCCACTGCACATGGCTAATTTTTGTATTTTTAGTAGAGACACGGTTACACCACGTTGGCTGGGCTGGCCTCAGGTGATCCTCCCACGTCGACCTTCCAAAATCCTGGGATTACAGGCATGAGCTACCACGCCCAGCCTATTTCTGGAAGAACTTTGATTTAGTATAAACTTTAAGTGTTTCATAAGTATACACACTTAAGGGCCACTGGTTACAGATAATTGGAGCAACTCCTCCTCTAGTGTCTTTAATCATTTATTGAACATCTATATGCAAAGGCTTTAAAACAGCTGTCCACAAACTATGTCCATGTGGCCAAACCCAGCCCACCCTACTATTGTAGATAAAATTTTATTGGAACACAGATGTACTACATGTATGTATTATCTGCTTTCACACTACATCAGCAGAGTTGAGTACAGTCATCCCTCAGATTCTATGGTAGACTGGTTCCAGGAAACTTCCCTACCAAAATCCTGGGATGTTCAAGTCCCTTATATAAAATGGCACAGTAACTGCAACTAACCTATGCACATCCTCCTGCATACTTTAAATCACCTCTAGATTACTTGTAATAATACTACATACAATGTAAACATTATGTAAATAGTTGTATTATGCTGGGCCAGACAAAGTGGCTCATGCCTACAATCCCAACATTCTGGGAGCCAAAGCAAGAGGATCACTGGAGGCCAGGAGTTCAAGACCAGCCTGAACAACACAGTGAGAATTCTCTATTAAAAAAAAAACAAACAACAGTTGTTATGTTCTACTGTTTATTTGCATTTATTATTGTGCTATTATATTTTATTGTTTTTTACCCTAATATTTTCTATCTGCAGTTGGTTGAATTCATAGATGCAAACTGAAACCACAGACACAGAGGGCCAACTGCAGTTAAGAGAATCATGTGGCCCAAAATGCTGAAAATGTTTACCACCAAGTCTTTGACAGAGGAAGGTTTACTGACTCTGGTTTTCAAGAACAAGAATCCCTTCTGACTTCCACCCTCCCAGGACTAACAAGCATCCAAAATTAAATAATAAGGAAGAGGGAAATCAAGCTGTCACAACCAATTTGCTCTTTTTAAAGTTTAAAATGAGAATTTCGAAGTTAAGATGGCAGATACCACAAACTCATCTGATCTTAATCCCTAAAATCTACACTAAAATTATGATAAAGGGTTTTTTTGTTTTGTTTTGTTAGCAGACTAACACTGAAATCAAAGAAACAAGGGCAGCAACATTTTGGAAGCTGGAAACCAGACAGGTGATAATTTCATTGAGAGAACTGAAATCTAAGATTAGCAGTGGGGAAAGCTGAGAAGCAGCCCAATCACAGTCTTCAAAAGGATAAGAACTGGTGGTACCAGGTACATTTCTAGAACTAGGGCAAGAGGTGGGGCAGGAGAGAAGGTGGCTAAAACAAGAAAGTAAAAACTGATAAGCAGTTAAATCATTACATCTTCTCTTCTACACTAGCAGACATATTCAGTTTTCTCTCGGAAAGGGTAAAATTCAGAACTTGGACTGGAAGACAACAGACACAGTTAACAGTATCAAAGATATAGGACTATGTACACATTAGAATGCTAAATGTAGAGCCTCCTCTACATTTCAAGAAACACCAGAGGCCAGATCTTTACCCAGACACTGTTCAATGATTAATCTGACTAGCCCAGAGGAAAAAAAAAAAACAAAAACAAAAAAAAAAACATTCTAACACTGGGGTTTCTAACAAATGCCCACTCTGGTGACCCTACACTGAAATCCCAAATTAACGAGCCTCCCCTTTCAACACTCAAATTTTCCAATCAATTTTCTTTTTTAATCATCTCTGAATTGTCCCTGCACCCCACCCAACCCAATCTTAATGAGCAGCCAACCAAGTATTGATTTATATTTTAGGAAAGCATCTTAGATTGAGACCAAATGAGGGAAAGAAAATGTAAGAGCAAATGGACTATAAAGATGGAAGAAATATCCAGACAAACGAGATTATCATCAGTGAAACAAGGACAGGATGCTATTTTAAAAAACAAAACAACAACAACAAAAAAACAGGAAGAATAAAGCAGGTCTTGGAAACTAAAACAACAGAAATCTTAAAACTCAACACGAGCTGAAAGTCTTCAGTTCTGCCCAGAAAGAAGAGCAAAGAGACAAAGATGGAAAATAGGACAAAAGATCATGAGAAGACCAATCCAACACACAACACCTAATAGTAGCTCCAGAAAGAGAAAAAATAAATGAAGCAATCACAAAGTTAAATCAAGAATATCACTGAAACTAAAAGCCCCTGAATTGCTGCACTGAAAGGGTCCACCACTGAACATGTAATGTTAAAAGAAAAAAAACAATAATGTGAAAATTTCAGAACTCTGAAGCCATAGTAGCTTCCAGAAAGAAATGTATATAAACTGTAACTGTATCTATTTCTTAATTATCATACACAAATAGTTAATTACAATGACTCTGAACTTCAACACAGCAACACTGGAAGCAAGGTGACAATGGAGCAATGCCTTCAAAATTCTGAAGAAAAATGATTCCCACCTTACTATCCTACACCCAAACTATCCGGCATAAAGGTAGAATAGTCATTTTGTGTCATGACATGTCTTAAAATAATTTACCTCCCTTGTACTATTCCAAGAAGGTACTAACACACCAAGAAAGCAATGGGAGATTTGGCAAACAACAAACCCAAGAGGAGAAACAAGGTGAAAACTCAGGAAGATAGTAAAATAGATCCAATGACAGCTATGTCACCAAGGTTAAGCAATCCAAATTAGAAGTGTGACACAGGAGACGATCATTTTGAGAACTACTATCACTAAAAATGCTGTTTCCACTCTTCTGGTTTGTTTAATGCTGAAGACAGAATGCATAAGAATGGCCCAAATTCTTATTTGTACTTCTATGTGTTGATCTTGTACTGAAGTTTCCAGCCCTCCCACTATCATTCGCTGATGCCTACAACAGCTATGGAAAATCATTTAGCAACCCCTCACTCCCAAGTGCTCTATTTTAACACGGGCTACTGTAAAATTACACACAACAAATCCTGTGCACCTCATCCCATTCTTCCTGACCCTGTTTCTGTAAAACATCCATCCACATTAGAATTCTGCCACATGCCAAACTGATTAAACCTATGCTTCCCAGGACACATGACCTTGCCCGATACTTCTCCGTAAGTCTTTATAAAGCCTCAGAACACTTGAGGCCAGACTATGACCCAGATAGTCTTTTTTTCCTTGTTATCCTATCTTAGAGCCTTCAATTAACAGTGGCAAAGTGGCAATGTTGCTTTACACAGCTAATTTGGTGATCACTATTCAGATTTTCAAAATTAAACACTGGTTGAGAATTTATAGGTGGTAAAGCTCTAAAGGAAAGCAAAGAAAGGAATTAGCAAAAGCCTGGATAGCACTTATATGTCTGCAAGGGAAAGGTGCAAATGAGAAGGGGCACACAAGGCTTCTGATAGTAATGTTCTATTTTTAACTTGTCTTAATATTCCTTAAGCTCTACATATAAATACATTTTATACATATTTTGGGTGTTTGGTACATTACAATGCAAGCAGTAAAATCTTTGGGAAATATATACAATAAAAATGAATTCTGCAAGTATTTATAATCCATTATCATGCTCTGCACTTTCTTAAAAACAGTGACAAATGGTTCAGTATATATGATGGTTTTGAATATATGATCATAAATATACTAATGATCATATATTCTATATTTTATCTTGAATACACTGCACTACCCTTTTGTAAAAGTAGGTAGTAAGCATTAGTAACTACATTTTCATGATATATAATTCATGCTACTTGCTGTTAGTAACAGAGTACAAAGTGATGCCAAATCTCGGAAAAAGAACCAACTTTCTGCCACTTACTTGTCAATGTCTGCCATGTTGTAAGAACTCCAAATATCTATGGAGAGAAACATTAATGTTAAAAAAAAAGTATATGATTTATTTAAAAAGAAAAAAAAAAGAAACCAAAACCCTTTAAATCAATACCATGCTGAAAACTATCCCAAGAAATGTCTATTTCCTTTAAAATACCATCGGTGTTAAGAAGAAAAACTCACGGAACATGCAAATTCTTCCTTACTAGTACCAAAAGTAATTTTTCAAAGGATATTATTTAAAACAAGAAAAGTTACCACTAAGCTTTTAGAATCTGTTGTATATAGACTATGATAATAGCACCATTGGTTAAAAAAAAAAAAAACTAACATTTGCTAGACTCATAAGAAAGGAACAGTACAAAGGATCTTCATTCAAATTCTTTCAACAACCAAGAAAGGTCAATTTCTGCTTAAATTTTTAGACTACTTAGCATCTTAAACAAATCCATTTTGTATTTAGCAATATTCATTTTTATGTAATTCATGTTTAAGAAAACCAAAACCTGACGGCTGCTGTACTCACTATGCCCCCTAGATCTCTTTTTAAAGAAGATTTAATCCTTGGATCAAATAGCCATTTAGACTATTTCAAAAGCTGTGGGTCCCAATCTTAATGTCAGGTAAGCCTTCCCTATCTCTTCAAACGTACATGTACCTCATGTTAGATAACTGATAACCACCAACCTCCAGCTTCCCCTAGATATGCTGGGGACATTGTCAAGACTTGTGGTTACCAGACCTGAGTAAGTTTACTGTTAAGACTGACCAGAGGGCATCCTAAGTTCCTTCTCACTAAAAGATTAGTATGAACCTGGAGAATACTGCTTTTAGAAAAATCTTAAAAGTAGATGTGCTATATTCAGGCAGCAAACAATGGTAGAATGCCACAGGTAATCTACAAATTACAAAAAAAACTAAACCAAGTTTTGATAGAATCCACATTAAAATCAAGTTTATCTTCTTAGCCAGGCACAGTGGCACGAGCCTGTAGTCCCAGCAGCCCAAGAGGCAAGATCATTTGAGCACAGGAGTTCAAGGCCTGCCTGGGAAACACAGCAAGACCCTATCTCTAAAAAAGTGATAATAAATAAATAGAATCAAGCTATCTGGTAAAAAAAAAATCTTAGTACATATTTAATCCACAAAATCCTGCATGTGTTTACTTTCACAGCAACGTATTATGCCTATGAACAAAGAGTTGCAAATGGAAAAGATCCTGATTTTAGCACTTAAGTGCTAATATTTGGGGGAAACAGTATTACTGACCTAGTACTTATCCTTTAGAGTAATTATAAAGAAAATTTTTCTTCCTAATGTATTTAACTTTGTAAATATTTTGTATTTGTTGTAAATAATTCCTAATAGTACTGATGAATTTTTCTAGTGATGCTGGGTAATGATTCAGCATTTACAAAGTGTTTAGCAATTATGAATACTAATCAAAAATAAGAAAAACATTGAATCTCTGACATCAAAGAAATGCAAGTAGGATTCCAGTTTGTCTATCACATCATCAGTAATTTCCTTTTAATACCAAGAAACTTGTGGTGCACATGTATCCTTATTTCTGGCTATTGTTCTTTCTGGAGAGCAATCTGACAATAGGAATATCAAAAGTCTTGAACATGTCCATCTCAGCCAGGCACCGTGGCTCACACCTGCAATCCCAGTACTTTGGGAGACCAAGGTAGAAGGACCGCTTGAGGACAGGAGTTCAAGCCAAGCCTTGGCAACACAATGAGACGCTATCTCTTAAAAAATAAAAATTAAAAAAACAAAGTATGTCCATCTCCAGATTTATTCACTTATGAGATCTACCATGAAAAAATTACAAAGAATCTAATGCCTTTGCTTTCCATGTTCACCTAGAAGGTTCTTCCACAGCTCTGAACAAGTCTTGCACATCCTTTGGCTCTCAGTTCAAAGTTTCACTCCCCAGAGATGCTTTCTCCAACCTGCAGATTCTGGTTAAGTAAGATTTCTTGGTTGTACACACACTCCTGTAAAGCTTTCTTTCCACCATAAGATGTCTCAGTTTGTAATTATAAATTAGGGTGACCTATGGTCTGTCTCTTCCAACTGACAAGATTCATGATTACAAGAATTAAATCTGATCTTGCCAATCACAGTGTTGTCTTCTTTGGGGTAGCACACAAAGCTTATTATAAACTTAGTAGTATAATGGAATGTGCATAAATGGAATGCTTTGTAGTCACAAATGAAACATATCTGAGTTGATATGAAGGAACACCAAAGCAAGGTAGAGAATGTATGCCAAAATCCCATTTGGATATGGGGGGGGGGGAATATATATATATATATAAAATCTCCACTCATATATGCACATGCTTTAATATAAATAAAACCTTTTTAAAAACATACACCAAAAACCCAACCAGAGTAACCTAACGAGAAAGAAGGGACTGGGGGTAATGAGAACTAATTTCCCATTCACTATTACGGTCATGTGTGGATTATATGTTCTGAGAAATGTGTCTTTAAGTGATTTTATTGTTGTTCAAACATCAGAGTATACTTACACAAACCGAGATGGTATAGCCTACTACACACCTAGGCTATGATACAGACTATTGCTCCCAGGCTACAAACCTATACAGCATGTGACTGTACTGAACACAGTAGGCAACTTTAATGTAATGGCTAAGTATTTATGTGGTGCATGACTGCATTTGGTTTTCCAATACACAGATTTATATAATAATTTCCAATACACAAATGTATTCTGAAATGTTCTGGGTTTAATATATAGTGTCTAGTAAACCCAGCAATTGTCAAAAATAGAAACAAAACCCAAAACTTCCAAATTTAATTTTTATAACATTCTAATGTGCTCACAGAAGAATGGCTACACTGTTAACCTCAATGTCCATTTGCAGCATTATATTTATAGTTTAAATTCTTAAAATGAAACTTTATCTTTAGTAAAGAGGATCCAAGACAGAACATTTAAAGAACATTAACAGGAGGCATTTACTCCTCCAGAGAAGGCTGCTCTAACCTGCCCATTCTGGCTACATTGTATTTCTTGGTTGTAAGATAGACCTAATTTTCTAGTCAGTTGTAGTCAGATCATTTGGGCTGACATCAACTTTGTAGCAATCCACAAACTAAGGCAAACAACTTCTGGCTCTATTTCATCACCTATATAAAGTAGAAAAATATCTGAGGGAGTAGGACCCAAAAATCTGCAGTCTAAACAAAAAACTCAGCTTCTGAGAGGTGGTTCTCAGTTAGACCACACTGACAAACACAAGTTTAGGTTAATACCTGTGTTAATTTTTTTCTGTAGTTGACATTAAATAAAATCAGTGAGAATCTTAGTTGTTAGACATTAAATTGCATTCCAAGATCTCTGTGAAAAACTTTCATTCCTGAAAGCAACAAACTAGATTATGCAGATCAATTCTACCAATGAAAAATACGGCTGGACGCAGTGGCTCATACCTGTAATCCTAGCACTTTGAAAGGCCAAGGCAGGCAAATTGCCTGAGCTTAAGAGTTCAAGACCAGCCTGGGCAACATGGTGAAACCCAGCCTCTACTAAAACACAAAAAATTAGCCAGGCATGATTGCGCACACCTGTAGTCCCAGCTACTTGGGAGGCTGAGGCAGGAGAATTGCTTAAACCCAGGAGGAGGAGGCTTCAGTGAGCCGAGATCACACCACTGCACCCCAGCCTGGGTGAGAGCGAGACCCTGTCTCAAATAAAAAAAAAAAAAAAAAAGAAAGAAAGAAAAATAATTAAAAGTAGAGACTTTTTTAACAAAAACATTTTGTTAAAAATCTTAAAAGCACCGAAATACTAACAAGATAGTAAGGAATTACCAGTCCAAAACTGAAGGCAAAACAGGAAGCAGAAGGAAGGCACTTGCACACTAAGGTCAACTGCCAATTATCAGCAATGTGAACTTTGGTTTTAACCCGTTAAAATTCTGGGCCTGTCCAAGATGGGTATCTTTATGGCAACTCTCCCAAATTAAGCAGGAACCCCAAAATGCTATATCCTCAAGAATAAATTCATTCTAATGGACAAACAGCGCCAATTTACCTCATCTGTATTGCCCTCCAAACCCCAACCTATGTACTTAAAATGACCTGTCCCTGGTATATTTAGACACCTGCACATCCAAATATAAATGAAAGCTTCCTTCTAGACCTTAAAAAATTCATACAAGTAATTTTCACAGCCAACAGGAGAAACAAAACAGAAATCAATCCTACACAAAGACTTAAATACTGTCATACAGACTACAAACAAATATATACCTATAGGCATAGTAAGCCTGGCTATCTTTGATCTAAGTTTGAAAATACACTGTCTGCAAGGAAGTCATCTATTAAAGGTGATATAACAAATTTGTAAAACTAGAACTTCCAGAAATAAAAATAACTGGAATCAAACTAAATGGGCTGGCTTAAGAGTAAGATAAACAGCTGAAGAATTAAGTGACCTGAAATGAAGCTTAGAAGAAAACTTTCAAAATATGGTAGAGCCACAGAATCTGAAGGACTGAAAATACTGAAAAGAAAAGACATTTTAGGATCCAAAAAAGCCTAAAAGACTTCATACAAGTTCCAAGAGCAGAAGGATGGAATATTTGAAGACGTTAATATGCAAGAATTTTCCATTTCTTTAAGTGATGAAAGACACTAATCCACAGATTCAGGTAGCCCTACAAATCAAAACCATAAAATAAAGAACCCATATATATATATATACACATATATATATATATATATATGGGGTTTTTTTATATATATATATATGGGTTTATTTATCCAGCTCAGGATATATCAGTAAAAAGGCAAGATAGCAAAAACAAATTCATCTCAAAAGCACACACAGAAAACGGAGATTAACTTCAAAGCCACAAAAAGACTGACAGCTGTCTTCTCTTCAATAAGACACCAAAAGACAACAGAATCCTCTATATGTTGAAAATAACTAAGGCTCTTAGAATACTATCCCCAACCAAAACATCTTTTAAGAACGAAGGTG